AGAGATAGAGCCTTAAAACCTATTCCATTCGATTCCTGAGGAAATTTGATGTCAATGTGCATCAATGTGCATTTTTGTCAATGTGCAACTATATAGACGATTTTTGGTCATTTTGGCTCGTGTCTGACGCAACTTAACTGTGACGGTTATTTTGCATACAAAATTCAGTTGGGGTCTGAAAACGGTCAGAAACCGGTCATTTACGTTTGACCTGGCCGAAGGGAAAATGAGGGTCATTCCTCACCTAAACAGTAGAAATCATTCAAGGTATACTGTCTATCGCCACTCTCGACCATGCCTCCATAAAGATACAACACATTGTTCTTCACCGCCAGCCCTGGATTGATCCTCGGAGAAGGTGTGAAGACATCAGGCTTCGCATCACCCCCTGCTTGAGTCGAGGCAACTGGCGCTGGACCGACAGTAACAGTAAAAATGCCATCGTCGATGGTGGTGACAGCTGGGGCAGGATCCACAACTTCCATTACCTTCTCACCCTCCCCATCCTCGTCATCCTCACTGCCATCCTGCTTTCGTCTCCTCCTCTTGTCCCTCGCATCTTTCTTCCCACTCAAATTGACAGACCTCCACTGATGTTTCTCGACGTCCATAGCCACCAGGTCATTGAAGAACGTTCCTTTGAGCTCCTCATCGTCCTCCTCCTCATCATAAACTCCCCCAAACATGTAGGCAAGAGGAGGCTGTGCGAGAACAGCAGAGGCACTGCACCTCGGGGAGATGCTTATCCCACTCTGCTTGACGATGGCAGACTTCCACTTGAGTCCACTCTGGTCATGTTTGTCTGGACCCAAGAGATACATATCAGTGTGCACCTGCCCCCTGTCGACATCCTTCTTGACTTTCTCCTTGCTGTACCCCCCATAAACCAGAATTCTATTGTCACTAGTTGGGAGAACAATGCAGCCAGACCTGGCTGGAGGGATCGACCCACTCAAGTCTATTTTGTTCCACTTATAGTCTCCCAAATCGAAGATGAACAAGTCATTGTAGTACTTGAAGTCTCTGAGATTATCGTGAAACCCTCCGAAGACGATCAGCTGCTTCTTTCCGTAGACCATACGATGCCCACTCCTAGAGGATGGCCCTCCAGACGCCTGAACCTTCTCCCACTTCTTGCTTCCTATGTGGTAGACCCAGAGGTCCTTGTAATGGTAGAATTGAGACTCGGATGGACTCGAGAATTCCCCGCCGAAGACCCACAGCTCTCCTTTTCCATTCGGAGCTGCCACTGCCTGATGTCCGCACCTGGGAGGAGGTGCTCCGGGGGCTTTCACCACTGTCCACGTTCTTTTGTTTATGTTGTAGAAGAACATGTCGCCGTAGACTGTTGTCTTCTGCCCATCGAAGAACTCTCCTCCCAGCATTATCAGCTCATCTTTGAAGGGGTGCGCTGTCAGGGTGAAATTCACTCGTCGCGAGGGTTGATCTATCAGGGCTTCGACTACTTTTTGTCGTTGGGCCTCTTCTTTCTCGATCTGGGCCACTACCTTTTCGATGTCATCCTGTGAAAGGAGAATTCACAGAAGCTTTGTCGAATTAATTCAGTAGTGACNGATCTATCAGGGCTTCGACTACTTTTTGTCGTTGGGCCTCTTCTTTCTCGATCTGGGCCACTACCTTTTCGATGTCATCCTGTGAAAGGAGAATTCACAGAAGCTTTGTCGAATTAATTCAGTAGTGACGTGGTAAACGGAGATAAGTCGAGTTATCTCCCAGTTGAGTTTTTGAGAAATATTTCCGAATCTAAGGGAGATAGCGAAATTTTTGTAATTACATTTATTGTAGCACTCGATCAGCTCCACAAAAAATGATTTTTTAAAACGCAGCTTAGTATCCAGCTGTTTAATAGACGAGCAATTCGGCTATTTTCGAAAATAATCGGGACCCTTCGGGTCAACGGTGAACGAGACACCCGGGAAAGACGTTCAGTAGCGAAAAGTACATCACCCGCCTTGGTAGAGTCAAGGTGTCGTTCAAAGAATATCTCCGATGCATCACGTGAAGGTACATCTCCGACGCGTTACGTGAAAGTCATCACCGAACAGTACATCAACGTGTTCAATTTTGAGTTAATTATCAAAATCAATTATCCAGTGAATTACCAAATTAATTATTAGTTCATTATCAAGTGAATCACATAATCATTTTGTGAGACCTTCAACAAATTAATATCCAGTATATCACCCACGTGTAAATATCATCTGGACGGGTGGATTGAATCCACAAATAAATGTGATTTGTTTAAATTGTGCATCATTTAATTTCACTAGCACACAATGAAAACACTTCCTAAATCCACCCTGAAATTAGCAGCTCACCAAACAATGTTATAACAAAAATTTTGCTATCTTCCTTAGATTCTGAGATATTGATTGAAAACTGGTCAATTGTCAAAATTGACTTATCTCCTTTTGTCACTTCGCTACTGAATTCGAATTAGTCAATAATCAGGGAATGAGTTCAATATGGTGATAAATTTTTGGAGAGTATCTTCAAATTGAGATGTAAACATTTTTATAGAGACTGTTTTTGTGGAGAAAGTTTGTGAGGTATTTAACAAAATATATTCACACAAACGGTTGCGTATCTCAACTTGATGTCTCCATTTATTCTCAAGTTATCGTGCGTACAAGTTTTTTCATGAAAAACGAAAAACGACAATATCTTTAAACTTTGAGTTAAAGGGTGTATATATTTCGATTGAGCTAGATGCAGGCCATCGAGATGAGTATTTTGAAGAAAGAAAAATTGAAATCGGTGCGGTAGTTTTTGGGATATTAAGGAGAAACAAAATATAAACAAGTTGTTATATCTGGGAAACTACGGGACCGATAGGGCTGAAACAGCGCGCCAAAGTTGAGCTCAATCATGGCTGCAATCAGCGATCGGCCGACAATCATTACACTTGTAATATTTTGTAATATTATTAGAATTTGAAAGTTTCAATTACTGCAGTTTTATTACCTTACTTGAAGTTTGAAAATATTAAAATAATTCGTAATTCACATTTTCTATTAACCATTGAGTAAATAATTCTAAATTTCATAGAAAGATTTTTTCAATTATACACGTAATGGTTAAACTTCAGACCCGATTACTGGTTAATAGATTATGTCGGAATTTGAATATTCGAATGATGATTAATTTGGTAATTGAAAATTGTTGAGTAGTATTAGCGGTTAACAGACGCTAAATTTAACTTATTTTGAAATTGATGATTGCTCTGATCTCTGGCTGCAATGAGCCAAAATTCCAGATTTTTATCTACAAATTTCATCGTATTTCTTGAAAATTCGTTTTGTTGAATTTGTTTTGTGTTAAATAGTCATGGAACCAAATAAATAAAGGGATTTCAATAGACGAATTGAAAATCCTCATGAAAATTCTGTTATCTCAGTGGACTCCGAGATGTTAAAGAAAATAGGATTCTCAATTAAATTGATAATACTTTTTAGTGTTATTTTACTCATTGATGGAATGGACCTGTAAATTGGATTGGAGTAGAATCACTGATTGGAAAAAAAAATAATAAAGTAAACAAGATGACTCTGTTCGACAAAATGTTCAGTTTCTGAAGAATATCGTAAAAGAGTAAAACAAGATAGAAAAATTTCAATCAAAATAACAACTGGAAAGCTGGAGAAAACTCCCCATGAAAATTTCTCTACTTTCGACCTCAGGATATTTAAAAACTAAGCCTCTCAATTAAGTCCCTCACCTTTATTCCACTAATGACAAAAATATAAATAAAGACCAGTTAAATTGTAGTAACCAGTTCACCCAAGAAACTAACCTCGCCGAGTGCCGCAAGTTCCTTCTTCTGTTTAGCATTCAGTTTCTTCTCAGTCTTCAAGGCTGTCTTAACACTCCCACTGACCTTCTGCTTATTCTTCCCCTTTTTACCCATTTAACAGACTAATATCTCAGCAATAAACACTGACCGCTAATATTCGATAAATATTCAGACACTAATGCGGCATGAAAGATTTACAAAACGCTCACGTGCACCTCGGCTTGACAGAATTTAATCTCATAGGACAATTCCCCCGGAGAAACCAGCGGCTCCTCCATTGGACGAAAATCCCACGGTCACTGACAACAGGCCATTTCCCCTGAAACCAGCGACTGAAATACCGTTGAGGGGGGCTATGGGGGGGATTCCGCCCCCTCTTGACTGGCCAATCCCCTTGCACTTCAACATTCGCGACTGAAAACGTTCGGAACAGGGTGGAGTTCCATTTCTAACGATTATCACTGTAAGTAGAAGACAGAGTCACAAAAAATAATCTCTCGGTATTTCATGTGGCGATTAAATTCGATCAAATTTTAACACCACAATTTCAAAAGGTGCGTCGTGAGTTGAAGGATGGAGATACTTGGTAACATATCGTCGGCATTTTGGTCCCCTGACGTTTGGTTACCGCCGAACATAACGTGGGACAACATTGCGCCAAATTCGGATAACAAATATGCGGATTATCGGCATCTCGTGTATCCACTGCCTATGGCACTTGGACTTCTAGTCATCAGATACTGCGTCGAGAGGTAATGGAACTCTTATTCAATTGGGGTAATTAAATTAGGGGATTTTTTGTCAATGCGGGTTTGGGGGTTAGAAGGAATAGTGGGGCCTGACCTTTTTCGGAAGGACTCGCAGGTTACATCGGATACCCGGCCAATGCTGCATGACAAACTTTGAAGGATAATTGTGTCAATCGCATTCAGTGATTGCAAAGTGAAAGAAACGGTGTTGTTGAGGGATTCGCGGAGTTCTTTTGCTTTCGTATGTTTTATTGGGATAAGTTTATTAGAAAATTGGGGGATTTGTGAATTCGTCGGCATTCAGACAATTGGAGGAAATTGGTTGATTGGGGGTTCGGTCTAGAGGGTGAATTCATGAGGTTTATTGAGATTTGATGTAATTCAGAGGCAGGGAGTGAGGCATAGGAGGTTTTGTTATTTAGAGATTAAGGAATATACGTCTCAGTTTTGCAGAAACAACACTTGAGATTTGAACATTTTCAATTGGTCACTTTGTCGATTAATTTGGGCATTTTCCAAAAAATTACATTATTTCAAAAACATTTTCCTTGTGTAATGTAAATTAGTAATATAAATTTTTTAGACTTTCAGACATCTCATTTTATCAGCCATGAAAACTATTTCTCTTAAAATAAGTTATGAATTACGTCTGTAATCTTTAAATAAAAATAGAAATGTTTCAGTTATTATTATGAATCTTCCTCAAAATCTGAAATAGTAGACTTTACTTGTTCAAGAATTTTTTAATGCCTCCTAAGATCTTAGAAAGTGTGAGTAACTCTTTAAATTTCGGGTAAAAAATTTTGAAATATATTTTGTTATTGACAAATCTATTAATATCTTGAATATTCAGTAGAATTTCAAGTTTCAGATTCATAAGACAATCATTAGAAATTGTCAAAATCGTAAGGTTCACTTTTCAAGCACGACTTAAATTGAATTCAGGCAAAATTGAGTGAATTTTGGAGCATCTTTCATTTGCTTCCTGATGGCCGTAAATTGGCTAAAATGAATTTATACGATGTTTAATCAGAACTGTTAGAGAAATAATGGATATAAAGGGAACATTCTTGTAATGAATTCCGTGATAAACAAAAATAACAGAATATTGAAAAGGTTCCAACGAAGAAAGGCAAAAGTATTTGGATATCCTCAAATTCAAAACCAAAGTTCCTTCCCCCTTCGAGACATTAGTCCAATATTTAGCTCAACATATTCGTTATACCATACTAAATCCCCAATTGTTAATTCATCATGAATATTCTTCAGGTATTGCTTTGCTCCATTCGGTAAGTCACTGGGTATAAAACCAAGAACGAAGAAAGCACCACCAAATCCATTACTAGAGAAGGCATACACTAAGCGAATGAAGCATAAACAGGTAACGGCACTGGCAAAGCAGCTCGACTGCACCGAGCGGGAGGTGGAGAGATGGCTGAGACTGCGAAGGGCCCAGGGCAAGCCATCCACCCTCACTAAATTCTGCGAAAATAGGTAACGCTCCAATACGAAGATGACCCCTTTACATTTGATTATTTTGCCTCGCAGAATCTCGACCAATAGCATCATTACAACTGACGTTATTTTATATAGCCATCGCGGTTTTGCAGCGATAATTTTTTGATAATTTTTTATTGTGCTCCGTTGTATAGAGGACAATGTCACAGCAAACCGTTCAGTTATTTGGCGTCATGTTTTCCATTTTTATGAATTTTTAATGGTTTAGTACCTCATTAAATATGACCCAGTGTAAAATTTCAGCCCTCTAACTCCATTATTTCCTGGGAACCTATTAAAATTCACAAAAATCAAAAACATGGCCCCAAGCGACTGAAGGGTTTTCTGTGAAATTGCCATATACCAACGAAGAATTTATTTAAGAAAAAATAATCTCCCGAACACCACTCGAGACTCAAAATTATTCAGGTGTTTCAGTCAGACTAAAATTTCCAATAATTTGTCCAATAATTTTGAAGCTCTTGTGGTACTTTAAATGATTGAAAAGACAACAATCCTCATTAAACTTATCCTGTACCCGTTATTCCCTAGTTGGAGATGTATGTACTACACTCTCATATTCATCTACGGCCTCTTCGTCCTCTGGGACAAGCCGTGGCTCTGGGACATCAACCACTGCTACTACGGCTACCCCTATCACGCTGTGAGCGATGACATTTGGTGGTACTACATGATCTCGATATCGTTCTACTGGTCCCTCAGTATTTCCCAGTTCTTCGACGTCAAGAGGAAAGACTTCTGGCAGATGTTTATCCACCACAAGGCGACTATACTCCTCATGTGCTTCTCCTGGGTGGGAAATTTGACTAGAATCGGATCGTTAGTGCTGGTACTCCACGATTGTGCCGACATTTTCCTAGAGGTAATCATGCATAGTCCGCCCTCAAAATATTCACAGACCTTGAAATTGATGCCCTTAATGTTTTCTTCATTTCAGGCTGCCAAGATGGCTAAATACGCTAATTACCAAAAAGTTTGTGATGCTCTATTTGCTCTCTTCACTATCTTATGGCTTATAACTCGTATGGGTATCTACCCTCTGTGGATTATCTACAGGTGAGGCTAAACATTCAGATTAAAATTTATCCTCCAATGTATCAAAACGAAATCAATTAATTCGATGGAAATCTTTCAATTTCAGTACGTCCATAGCTGCCCCAAAAATCGTGCCAATGTTCCCAGCCTACTATATCTTCAATTCTTTATTAATCCTCCTGTTTGTCCTCCACACAATTTGGACTCGATTAATCCTCAAGATTGCCTTCAATGCACTTTACGCTGGCCAGGTGTGTATTTATCTGAAAATACAATGCTATCATCGTCGTGCATGTCTGCAAATCATTATCATGACTTGTTATTTGTTCCTAGATGGAAGGTGACCTGCGGAGTAACAGCAGCGAGGAGGTATCAGATGATTTGTCAAATGACCCACCCTCAAACAACTCCAATCACGCTAAACGAAATTCTGAAAAGCAGGACTAACGGACATGTCTGTTTAATAATTCCTAGATATTAATGTCAATACAATTTAAAGAACAAATTTTAAACCGATACGAGAGTGTATCGGTAACATGAGTCCATTTAAACGATAAAAGTCATCGCAATTTGATGAATCCAAGCAATATTTTGAATCAAGCGAGTGAGAGATTTTTTTCTCTCATTCGATTAAACCAAATATTCAACAACTAAGGAATTAATGCGAGAGCAAAAACCAGCACGATTGAGATATTAGCAGTGAAGAGGTGAGAGGATTGCCCCTAATTTATGATAACTTCTATTCGTTTTTTCATTTCCTATCGGTGTGAGTGACCTAAAGGAGTATTAAAGCCTGTTCAGTGCTGCGATAAATATTTTTCCTCTGCCGTTAATATTTGTTTTTGTGTGAAAGAGTGACAAGAGAATTTCAGGAATGAAATTGACGTGTAAAGATATTAGACCAAGAGATGCCCTTCATTACGTAATTAATCGATTTTTTTGCCAGTTTATCTTTCTCACGGGTCAGGGGTCGACGATAAAAAGAGACAAAACTCTTTTTTATGAATTCAAATTGAATGGAACGAGAGTGTAAATAAAATAATTTATAGTGCTGTTGTTGTGGTTAAAATTGAAATAATGTTTCAGTGCCTAATGCAGTATATTTAAATTAATTATTCACATCGGCGGTTTTCTATGGGATTAAGATAACTATTTATCTAATCGTGAATGATTCACGACTTATGATTCAGTGAACATAAATTTTGTCAATTATGGGAATTAATTTTTACGGGTTTTATTAAACTCCAGGTTTTCCAATACTTTAGTAATTTCAATAAATCTTATTTTCATCGCAATGTATTTTTCTAGAATTGCACCAGAATTAATACACATTCCATGGTACTTCGAAATGTCCTCCGCAATGAGTTTAATTATGTAATGCCTAATAATTTTCATAATACGTTAGACAGTAGTGGAATTTGCCTGATAAAAATGGGGAAACAAGAAGTTGATACTGCGAAGAGAGACAAATCATTCAATTGACCATGACAATGAAATTTTTTCAAATGATGCTGTACAGACTTGAAATAGAACGAGATAGCCACACTATTTGAATCCGGAATGTGTGTTCCTAAATGATATGCGAGTGTATAAGAACTGTTTACATGATAATTTTTATTGAACTCGTTAATCTTTGCACACCTGATCGAGAGAAAAATACGTATGACCGAAACAAAAGTAATTATGTAATCAGTATGACCAAATAGTAAATGCCTTGCGTGACGAAGTTAACGAGAGACACCTTTCGAAGATCTGGACATGATTTGAAATGAAAAGAAAAGAACAAAAATTTAGCTTAAACTTCTGCACGTTTTTATTTTTCAGCGTAAAATTTTCTATATCGATGTATAAATTCGTCCTTACGATAAAATAAATTTTGACCAATTAAATAGATGATTTCAATTTCACAGCATTAAAACATTTTTTTTCATCATAGAAAAGCACTTGTTCATTATAAAATACCTGAAGCAAATACAATTCGTTGGCATGTGATAAATATCGATAAAACTTTTAAATATATAATTATAATTTATGGAAATTGTAAATATGATTAAGTACTGAATTAAGCCGTTGGTCCCAGCTGAATATAAATGCAAAAATATTCATCGTTATTCAGGTTTAATTTGACAGCTAGTATTCAATTATATAATCTGAAATAACTACCAGAATATAATCTCTCATTCAGCGAATCTGGTATTTGTGGATAATTAAATATCTATAATTGCGTTGTAATGACCGTTTTCATCGTTACAGTCTTGGCTTTTGCCTGGGACGGATCAGCCACTAGCCATGGACTGATATCCAAGGCTGTGGTGCAGGGTTCCTGGGGACAAACACAATTTATCGTTAATAAATAGTGATATTTACCAAGGGGGTATCACTTATGAAATTCCTGCGCAGTAGCGAAGCAGTAAAACGTGAATATCTCCGAATCTAAAGGAGATAATGACATTTGCGTAATAACATTTTTTGTAGAGCGAATTGAGGGCTACAAAAAAGGTCATGCTGCCAATTTTGCTATCTCCCTTAAATTCCGAGATATTCGGTGAAAACTGGCCAATAGTCAAAATCGAGTTGAACCGTTTTATCACTTTGCTACTGAAACATCAAGAGGAGCTCTGAATTTTTGAGAAATCTCATGAAATCCTTGTTTCGGTGTTACGAGCCATGCGCAGAGCTGACTGTCGCCTGAGCCGCGAGTGAATTATGTGAATGATTCACCAGATAAAATCATTTGACGCAATAGATACGATTTTTTTTACATTCATTTGCATATTCTCTTATATTCATAGATCATTCTAATGTTGAATGCTAGATATATTCAAATGCTTACTGGCGAATATATCCCCCTTCCCCCTTGCCGGACGTTACCCGGGATATTCCCTCCATTCTTCAATTTTTAACTCTCAAAAATGGTTTTGTGGTTTGAAAAAAAAGAATTATTTTACTCGACAAGCAACGGCTTTTCTTTCAATTTGTAGAAAACCCGTGAACTTTCTAGAGTTTTTCAGAAGAATTGAGGATTCTCCAAAAAGTTTTGGTAATTTTTAGTGGAAATCCTATTGAAATCCATAACACAATTCACTGAATAGTCGTGAATAGTCATGAATTGTGAGCAAAAAAAGCGAGGCAACAGATTTACTATATGTTAGAAGAAGAAGATTTGTCGAGCTAATAACACCCGAGCCATCTAACACGTATGAAAAAATTTCATAGAACTACCTGGCGAATTCGCTGGACAATTCTATTGGATTTCTATTGAACTTTTCGTTAGTTTTTGGCCGATTCTCCTGAAATTTTCAACAGAAAATATTCTATAGAATAAGAGAATCGAATTTGTTTTTTCTATACAACTTATTCTATTGAGATATTTTCCAGAGAATTTACTTGGCTCAAATTTTTAAAGAATTTTTGTTTGATTTTTTTTATAAAAAGAATCGAAAAATTGAATGAAAAAAGCTTGAAAAATTTAAGCCGAGGAAACTTTATACAAAATATCTCAATAGAGTAAGTTGTATAGAAAAATCGTATTCTTATTGACTTTTTCTATAGAATATTTTCTATTGAACATTTGAATAGAATCGGCAAAAAACTAATAAAGATCCAGTAGAATTATGTAGCAAATTCCCCAAGTGTTTCTATTAATTTTTTTCGTCCGTTGAATTCGCTGAAAACGTTTCCAAAATTTTGAAATCCTACTCCAATCGCCTGACAGTATACGAAATTTCTCAGTCTTTGAATTTCTTTCAAATACTTCGAAATCCTCTGAAATTGTTTGCAATATTAGAGGATTCCTGTAAATTTCATGAAATCTCTTGTAGCGATTACCCCCTCGCTATTTCCATTCAATAATTAACAATAGATTTAAAAAAATTACGAGTAACAGATAATGATGCAGGAACTCAAAATTGCCTGAAAAATGCATGCAAGCACGTGATTATAAATGATAAATCATTTACCGAGCGTGTGAACGTAGTTACTGTCGATGAATTCGGCGAAGGCACTTCCTCAGGTCTAGTCGTAGCAATCTCAACTTTTTCCTCCTCATTCTCTGTAATTTTTTCGAGAACAGGCTGAATCTCATTGAATGGATTCAAAAGCCCTAGGAAAGGATTGGAATCGATGAATGGATTCGTATTTTTAGTCTCAGTTGTCTCCTCGGTCTGCACTTCCTTCACTTCCTCAACAGGTGCTGTCACTACTACATCAGCACAATTGTCGGTATTGAATGGGTTGAAGGGATTCTGTGACTGATTGACAACTTTGGCACTGAATGGCGTTGTTTTCTGAGCAATTTGACCCCAACTGTCCAGTGAAAAGTGAGTTACGGTCACTGTGTCGTCCGCTGGGGGAGTACTGCTTAGGGGAGCTGTTCCACTGACGTTTAGGGTGAGCTTGTCTCCTCCCTTCCAGCAAAAAGCGAATAAGCATGATGTTTTTGGAAGCTAGCGTATGAATGTGATTTTCGGAGGGAAGTGGTGGCGGTAATGAGTTGAACTCGATGGTTTAGATGTGTCAATTCTTCTCGAACTTCAGTCTTTGCGAAATATCTCGAGAACGAGGTTTAAGAATTTTTTTTCATTTGCGAATATGAGTTGAATACGAAAAGTAATGAAAAATTCATCAAATTTTAGCCAGACTTTCCTCAATTGGCTGCAATTTCCAGTTTTTTCTTGATTTTTCAAAATAAAAAAAATACGTAACGAGCAATTTTAATCAATTGCGGGTTGTCAACGTTTTATTCAACGGAGAAATTTCATATATAACCCAATTGAAGGATAATGGCAAAATTTTTACAAGAATCATTTTTATTGCTCTCATGTCGCTCTACCAAAAAGGTCCATCGAACGACTTGTTTTGGAGCAAATTTACCGCTACAAATGTCTCTGCCCACACGAAAAAATTTCATAGAAAAACCTAGCGAGTTCGATGAAAAGTTCCATTGAATTTATATTGAACGTGTATTGAAAATTTTATTAATTTTTGCCCGATTCTATTAAAAAATTCCGCAGCTTTACTATGCGTTTTTTACAGAAAATATCCAATAGAAACTATTTTATAGAAAAACCCAGTAGAATTTTATTTTCCTATAAAACTTTTCCTATAAAAATTCCTCGACATAAATTTTCCAAGTTTTTCTATTCTATTTTTCTTCTCTTCCCATTGGGAAAATTTGAGCCGAGGAATTTCCGTAGAAAATATATCAATCGAATCGAATCAATAAAATTGTTTCATACACGCCAATGTTTTCCCCTTCACACATCCCCAACCAAAGCCCCCAAACCACTTCACCCCTGCTGTGATTCAAATCCAACGACTGATACAACAATACCTAGCAGACGACAATAAACTAAACCAGACAAACCACACGAAACACGAAATACATAAAATATAAAAAAATACCAAGAAGAATCATCGCTACTCACCACAGAGACGATAGTAGCAGCGTCAGGATGCTGACTCTTGCCCCCGCCGTTGCTCTCAGCCGGCATGATGGACACAAGATTGGAGTTCTTCTCGCTCTCGAGTGTCTTCGCCTTGAGAATATTGCACTTGAGTGACTCAGGTGGAATCGGTGACCGTGCAGAAAGCAGAAGTGTCCCGCCCACTTGATTATTAGGTAATGACTGCGGCGGTGAGCTGGACGTGCTCTCCACAATCAAACTAGTCTTCATGATTTCGGCCTCCTTCTCACTGCTCGGCGCAGTGGTTTGATTCTTGAGCTCCAGGGTCTGTGGGTCCTTCGCCAAGGACTTGAGTATTGAATCGACAAGTGGAGACGATGCTGAAGCCCCCACAGAGCTGCCAACAGCCCCAGCAATCTCTTGAACATTGGCAGTGACACTGGTAGCAACACTCGAGGCCTCAGACTCTGTCTTGCTCGGCTGCCTCTGGAGGGCCTCACACTCAACACTAGCTGCCTGAGGCTCCACGTGTCTCTCCCTCTGCCTCTCCCTGAGGACGTGGCTCTGCCTCCTCGCGTACCTCTGACTCGGTCGCCTCTCGAACTGAACAGTTCTCCTTGCTCTGTTCAACTGAGTCGTCTGGAACTCCGTCTTCCCACTGTACCGAAATCTCGATCCCATTCTGAAGAAATTCTGACGACTACTCGCCCCCTTCACCGGTGCCCTCAGTCTGAAGAACGCGTGGTGCTCGACAGCGCATTTCCAGAGGTGCTTGCAGGCCTTTTCGTTTGTCAAACGGAAGACGAACGTGTGCTCCTGCTCGCCACGACCCTCGTCGTCCTCCTCCACCACCACTAGAGTCAGTTTCTTCTTCTTGAAGTCCAGGCGACCGATCTTCGGCCAGAAGAAGAGGCCGATCTTCTGGTTGCCCTCGAACACTAGGATCCCCGTGGGAGTGAGACCCAGGGAGTACTCGCAGGCGTCCTTACCCAGGACTGTGTGCATGTCCACTCCGTACATGTCCAGCCACTTGGCCTTGCCCAGGTAAGAGGACTCTGCTTGCGCTGGAGATAAACCTTTGCAGTTCTTGTATTCCTCCAGGATCTCCAGCTCCATCTCCTCGGTCTGACCTGGGACGAAACGAAATTCGGAGACTGTGGCTGCTGTGTGGATCGTCGGGTCGTAATCGCCCAGCTCGGATTGGAGGGCTAGAGCTGAGAGCTGGATGACCACGTTCGTGGGGCAGTGCAGGCGACCGTCCAGCAGGTCTTGCTTCAGTTGCAGGAAGAACTGGTAGCGGGTTAGCTCCTCGCGGAGGGTGTTCGGCTCGGATGAGTAGAATTTTACTTTCAACCGGAGGGTGTAGGGGGGTCCGATTTTTATCTGCTTTTTTATCGGCTTCGTTGGGTCCAGCCAGTGCTGCACGTTGTTGCTGTCTGTGTACTGGAGGCCGAAGTAATCTTTCTCGATCAGGTCCAGAGAGTAGAAGACCTGCTCGTACAAGTCACTGGCCAGGGCTTTTTTCTGGAATTTCAGGGGTCGTGAGTACTTTCATGAGAAGGGAGTTTTTAGTGGGCTTTGGGGTTTGTGGGTATTCGATTGTTGCCTGGTTTTTTTGGCTGACTTGATTCATGTTTAATGAGAAATTTCATGAAAATGGAGCAGTTTTAGTCGGGTTTTGGCTCGGGTTTTGGCGTTTTATGGACATTCGATTGTCCCATGATTTTTTTTGTCTAATGACTTGATGAAATACGAAAATTATGTGAAAAGTTATTGATGATTTAGTTTTCTATCAGTTATCGAAATAAACAATCAATGTCTAGTGTATTTTCATTCAATTCTCATACACAATAACAATAATTGATAGAAAATCTCAATTTATGGGAGATGAATGAATTTTTGTGGAGACAAATTTTAGCATCTCGTTTGGATTTGAAGATATTCATCGCAAGTTGATGATCGAATTTCTATAGTAAAATAATGAAAAGAGATGTTAATTTCACTCGATCAGTATCGGTGGGATATCCCAAAATTGGAGGCAGTTAGCAAAATCAGTAGAAGGACCTTTCTTGTATTGAAAAATCATGACTACGAAAAACACTTGGTTGTGAAGTCAGATAAATTCATTTTCCTTCATCAGCTTTTGAAAAATATTTTACCGCGCAGTAATCTGCTATAAATAATGGAAAAATCGGGATTGTTGGGGGAATGTCCTATCTCCTTTTGCTCCACAAAACAGACCCTCATGAAAATTCCTGTTGGTTTCTAGAATATTTTCCAAAAGCTCCTCGAAATCCAATAGTCAATAATAAAACGAACGACTTCAATTTCCCTTCTCCTCTCTCCAAGTAATATTTCAAAATTGAAAAGAAATAGCGAAATTTCCGGTAAAATTCGTAGAGATTTTTATTAAATAACAGTCCCACTGAAATATGAAGGAATTCCATCATTAAAAATTCACAATTTAATGAACAAATCAATGAAGACTCCAAATTTCTGGTCAAATTATTCATTAAAAATGAATTCAAATCACGAAAATATGCAATTAACTGAAAATTCAGCGTAATGAGAGAACTAAACAATGAACAAACAATTATGCTTTGATTGAAAAATCAATTAAACTAGGGAATTCTCATCTTCCTTTCGCTGAAAATCTTGGAATTCCATTGAAATTCCAGTGAATTTTCATTACTTTCCCCCTACCCTGTAAACAATTACTAAACTATCGATGAAATTTCAAATTTTCTCCCACAGTGCACCTCGTTTTCTCATCTTCCCATAAAAATCCCAATATTACAATTTGTTTCTCTATAAAAATAAATGTTCACCAGATAAAGGCCCCCCCAACGTCAAATAAATTCAAAAATATTGAACATACCGGTAACTCGATAGGCAAATCCGTACCATCCAGCAGTATGACTTGGCACTGTATAATATTTTTATTACTCAGTAATCTCTGATTTTTAATCTGCGGGGATGCTGTCTGCCCCGCACTCCTGACCCTCCGTTTCGACAGAAATCTCAGCATCTTGCCCCCCAAAAAAATCTCTCCCTTCAGATACACTCCAAAATTTTCAATCCAATAAAAACATTCAACTCAACCGCACACGAAAACATTTCTATCAATCATCTACATCTGATATTTTCACTGCTAGCTCATCCATGGGTACGGCATTGGTGAAACGTCAGACGGCACTCTTGAGCACATAATTACGGCAAGACAATAATATTGAGCAATGTACTATTATCCCCCACACAATGGCAACTGAATTTCCACTGTTGTTAGTATTCCAAACAATCGAAAACTGCAAAACAATACAAAAAAATATAAAAAAAACTGTCTATCTTGTTAGCAACACGGTGTACAACAAAAAGGGGGGTAGGCGTCACATTTTCAGGTTGCCGACACCTGGCGGCAGGTGTACGAATCCCTACGAGGCCTGCGTAGGTGTGGCTTCTCCCTTAAAATCCCCAAAGACCCCCCATTCCCCCAAAAAATCCCAATCAACTTCCCCCGTCTCATTTGCGATAAAGAAAAATTGCATAAACCGTTTTTTACGCCTCAACGATCCTCAAAAACCCTTCACCCGCATTTAAATAAATTCAAATTGCCTCCGAGAGACTCTCACCGCCAATGGCAGTTCGACCCCCCCGAGGCAGCAGCCAATCCCAGATTAAACGCAGCAAAAAGTCAATACGATTGGGCGAAACTTGACAACGAGGAAAACAAGAGGGAGACAGAAGAGAGAACGAGAGGGATAGAAGGAGAGTCGAACGGAATGGAGTCTAGAGTCCATGTGACCGTACTCTCAAGTATGACATCTTTTTTGTTGTCCCAATTTTTTTAACAATGTCATTGGATATTTTGATTCACTCGGACCTTTAATACCGCGCCCAGTGGAATTAAGAAAACCTATATATTGGTTTAAAAAAAGTTTTCCAATGACTTTACGGGTTTAGAGCGATTATTACTCGGTGGATTAAGGCTTTCTTTTGGGATCACGTAAGTTAATTGTGACACATTGACCACTGAGGAGGGAGCATTGTTGATGATTGGTGGTGGGTGCTGGTGAGGTGGTGGCGATGGAATTCACAGGGGGGAAATTTTGTTTTTCAGGATAATGGCACTCAGGGAGTTGGTTGAGGGGGATTGCGGTGGTCCAGGTCCACTGGCGGGCTTTGCCTCGCACCTGGTGCAGGACAGGGGCTTCAGGGAAGAGGGCATTGGACAGTCCAGGGAGGTGCCGCTGGAGAGGGCCACTGCTGATCAGTTGGTTGATGAGTTCCTCGAGGGCAGGGGCAATGCACATCCTGGCACTTTTAGGATGAATAGTATATTGCAGCAGGTTCAGGAGATTGATCATGGCATGCAGCATCCTCTTCCACCACCTTCCATGTTCAGGGAACAGGACTCGGAGTGGGCTAATCAGTTCCTCAACACGAGGACTGAATTTTTCGTAAGGATTACGATTTGTTGGTAATATTTGGGGGGATTAGGGGGGATTACTTTGCTCCGAAATTGAAAGTCGATTGGGTTTTGAGTTTTTGTCTGCGAATCCTCAAGACAATTTTTTGAGACGACCTGAGGGGCAGTACAATGATTTGATCAGACGAGAATTCGAATTTCTCAATGATGACTTTTAATTCATTAACTGAACTAATTTCAAGCATTACATTCAAATGACGTTTGAAAGTAATGCTTAAAATAAACATGACAGAAGATTGAATGTTGTGTCTTTTGGGGGAGACATCAGAGGTCGCTTTTTTACTCCAAAAATTCTAAATAAAAAAATGAAAATTGTAGGTAGAAACACGCAGCTAATAGTCACACATTATTTGGAAATGATTAACTTTAAAAATTATAGATTATGACAGCGTTGCATTGCTCCAAAAGTAACTCTGGTTTTTGTTTGCAAATTTTCCAGAAAATTTTGGACACGACCTCATTACAATCTCTTCACCAGATAAAAACCTGAATTCCTTAATAATAATTTTTAATTCATAAATTTAGCAAGTTTTGTTCAATTTTCTTGATGAAAAAAAAAGAAAAATAGAATGAAAAAAATTTGAAAAATTTGAGCTCAAGAAATTCTAGCGAAAACATCTCAATTGAATAAGTTGTAGTGAAAAATCGAATCCTATTTACTTTTTCCATCGAATATTTGCTATTGAACATTTGAATAGAATCCGTTAAAAACAAATAAAAAGCTCAATAGAAATAGAATTGTCGAGCGAATGCACTAGATTTTTCATTAAATTTTTTCCTACATGTAAAATGACCATTTGGAAACATATTTCTAATTTACCAGCAAATATTATTTTAATTTATTTTCGACAATTTATTTATGCCTTTCGAAGACAAAAGCAATTTCCCACTCGTTAAATATTCACTCTACTCTTCATGTCCGCAGACCACAAATGCAGATCAAATATGGTCTGAGAACGCTCTCCCCCGTCTTCCACTCTCAGAACCCAACGAACTCGGTCTTGGCGTTCAGTGGGCAGAGGATTACTTTGAGCATACGTTAGAGTCCTCAAAAAAAGACGAAGAGAAATTGAAATCTCTGGACGATGCAACCACAGAAAACCCGAACATTGCGTACTCGAAATTCATGAAGTTCATGCACCAGGAAGGGGACATCACCAATGAGATTTCCGAGCACAATTCAGCAAGCGCTTTGAACTCGAAATGGTCACAGGAGTTCGCCGAGCAGAAGGAGGAGGCTGAGAAGTCCCTCGGGAATCCAGATGGGATTCTTAATAAAGTTGAGGAGGAATTGGCAGTCGCTGGAAGTTGGGCGAATGAATTTCTCGAAAGTGCTGGCAATGTAGGTCGGTAAAATACTCTTTCATGTGAGAAATAATCTTTAGAGTGATGAAGAATTGGGTGAAATGGACGCTTCCACACCTTTTTATGCCTTAAAATGCTAAGGAATAATTCAATCATTGATGAAGTGGGATTTTTTCATAAAACGGAGACTTTCTCTTCGTAATTCGTGAACTGACTGTGAGTGTTGCATTGAAAATAACGAAATCTTTTCATATATTTCACTATTCCATTTAATTTCGATTGACATTTGCATCTTTACATAATTAATTTTTTTAATACTGAATCTCTAATTTACATGATTAGAGAAAAAAATATTTTTTAATCAAGAACTTCTAATTCTCAATTTAACGACACAAAAATTCTTCAAATATTTTCCTCCCTAGAATACACGTCTACGTAAATAATTACCAAACCCCAATTCTCCATTCTTTGCTTCTGAGTTGGGGAATATTTTTTAAAAACTCGAGTGTCCATTTTACCTCTGGGGTACTATATCATTAACTCTCATTCTATTCTCATTAGGAATTGCCCTTAGGGCATTTTTGTATCTAGGGCATCGAATAAACACTATTCTATTCTACTCTATCCGAAGTAGGTTCTGACTCGTACGAGTCCTCCTTCTGGTCGAAATTCGAAGGAGAATGGGACAAAGCAGCAAAAAATCATATAACAGACCCTCACCCTTGGTTATCAGACTACGAGAGCTACTACGATCCCTTCAAAGACTACAAATTCAAGGAGGAGAACCCAATGAAGGATGTTCCTGACGCTCTTGAGCAGGGCAAGAGTCGACTGGAGGCTGGGGATTTGCCCAGTGCTGTTTTGTGTTTCGAGGCAGCTGTCCAGCAGAACGAGGAGAACCCTGAGGCCTGGTTCCTCCTGGGGAAGACACAAGCTGAAAATGAGCAGGACCCCCTGGCCATTGCAGCTCTGAAGAAGTCTCTGACGCTGGACACTTCGAATGCCAGTGCACTGATGACCCTGGCAGTGTCCTACACGAATGAATCTTATCAGAATCAGGCATGTCTCACTCTGAAGGAGTGGCTCCTGAAGAACGAGAAGTATAATCACCTCTTGGTGAGGAGAAATAGCACAGAGAACCCAGCCAAGTCGTCGGTTTCAACGATTTTATTCGATGATGTTCACACCGAAGTGAAGGACTTGTTCATCCAAGCTGCCAGGATGAACCCAACCGAGGGGATTGACGCTGATGTCCAGAGTGGTCTAGGTGTCCTCTTCAATTTATCGAGTGAGTACGATAAAGCTGCTGATTGCTTCAGGGCTGCACTCCAGGTGCGTCCAGACGACTCGAGACTCTGGAACAGACTGGGCGCCACTCTTGCCAATGGACAGAGGTCCGAGGAAGCTGTCGACGCTTATTCTCGGGCTCTTGAGTTGTCCCCTGGGTTCATCAGAGCGAGATACAACCTGGGGATCTCTTGCATCAACTTGGGGGCTTACAAGGAAGCTGCTGAACACCTCCTCACAGCTCTCAATCAACAGGCTGCGGGGAGGGGAGTTCAAGGAGGAAACAATGCCCCACATGCTATGTCTGAAACTATTTGGTCGACTCTGAGGCTCGTTGTGTCGCTCATGCACAAGTACCATCTCACTGAAGCTGTGGAGAAATGGTGAGAGCTTCGTTTCTTTTTTTTTATTCGTTTGGGTTTATTGACAAGTGGAGAATTGGGATTCGTTAAGGATGTTCAAGTACTTTGGCTATTTTTTCTCCAGTGATTTTCTAATTTTGTAGTGGAACATCTGAGCTTTTGGTTGAGCACCATTTGACACTAAGTTGCCGGACTCTTTACAATGGTTTTATATTAGTTAAACTTTGCAGGTCTGAATTTCAAACGCGATATTGAACCGTTAGAGAACATTTTAAAAATATGAAAAAAAATTAGGAAGTTTACTTTTGGAGGAACATTGATGAAATACTTTAAAAACTACAATTTTTGAGAATTGCGAGCATTTTAGATAAATTGTTTATAAACAAGTAATTTTCCACCATAAAAATCATTTGTTCGGAATCGTCAAAAATTTATTCATATTCATCATTTTACCAGAAGTCGATTTCATGCCTAAAAAAATAATATTTCCGACACTTTAAACAATTTCAATTATTTATTTATAAACAACGAATGTTTAAAAAAATAATAATTCTGTGCAAAATGTAATTTGAATGACGCCAACGATTCCATAAAAACTGGAATATGAACTAAGTTTCACAAAGTTTCATTGAACTGATGCGCATTATATTGCATTCTGAAGAGGGAAAGCTAAATTTGAATTAAATGCATTTTTTTTCCAAAATACATAGGGACAAATGGGCCCAGAATTTTCGTGTAGATTTTGTTTTAGAACAGAACGAAAATAGCTGGAAAGGGGTCACAAAAATTTCTCAACTGTAAACATAACAATATTTAGCAAAAATATAATTTGACTGATCTCATTTAACCATTCCACGATTGTTATCTAATGTTTTTCTTATAACTATTTTTAAACCAACGAAGATAAACACATTTCCATAACAAACTGAAATCTCCCCTAATCCCTAAGATACTCAGCAAAAAATAAAGTTTCTGAAATTGTTTTAATCTCGTAATTTTAACATTTAATTAACAATTTTATCTAATTTCAGGAATCTGGCAAAATTGAACGAGGAATTCGAAATATCCTGAAGTTAACAATAACATTACTGGTATGGATAACATTACTAAAATGGATTGTTTAACTCTATTGTTATGAATACAGATAATAAAGGAAAATTATTTGTAAAACCTTGAATTTCCATGATTACATCCCCCTCAACGCCCCCCCCTCCCCCCCCAAATCTTCTCTGTGTCCATGAGAATAATCCAAAGCCCGCAAAAAAAAGTACGACAGCATAAAAAAGCCCCAACGCCCATTGGAAACAGCCCTGCGGGCATTCGGCAGCAGCCATATTGGCTTGGCTATGACTGTCGTGTCAGAGTGATAGTTGACCGTGAACGTAAAAAAGTGCGGTAGTTTATTTATTTTTATTTAGTTCGTTGTTAATAAACAAACGCCCCTGTATGTGTGATTATTGATTAAGCCCAGTACTTCATAAAAATGGAAGAGACTAAGATAATATATCACATTGATGACGAGGAAACGCCTTATTTAGTTAAGCTCACAATATCACCGGAGCGTGTGACACTCGCTGACTTTAAAAATGTATTGAATCGTCCGAATTACAAGTTCTTCTTCAAGTCAATGGACGATGACTTTGGGTAAGTCAACGATGAATGAGTAAACACTCGTGAAATTACCTGTAATTAAAAATCATCAGCCTGTCGATGTTAATTCCACCCGTCATTGAGAAGATATTGAATGCTTTGCTGCATGGTACAGGCTGACATGGAACAAATGACAATTCATGGTGGTGCTCCTTGTCCTGTCGACTTTCTTATTCCACCCCCCAATGAGCCTCCCTCCCCCCCTCGAGGTTCTTCATCCTCTTGAAAACCCTCAGCATCCACCAATTGATCTCATCCACATGCCTCACAGACCAGACCAGAACAGAACAGATTAATCGTTTTTTTCGTAACAAAAAGGCAGATGAGAACACAGGTCATTCACCCCCCTCTGTCACTCGTGTTTATTGTATTTAATCGTAAATCCCCCCCTCACCCTCTGGCACCCCGACCATATTACAGTAATTACCCAGCATGAGAGTGTGATAATGTTTAATTAATCGAGTGAATTTATTTTAATGAAAAACAAAAAAAACAGTGTTGTCAAGGAAGAGATAATCGACGACGATGCACACCTACCGTGCTTCAATGGACGTGTTGTCTCTTGGGTATGTCTATTTACATTATTATCATGATTATTATGTCATTGAGAGTCCTTTGAAAATGATGTTACAAACAATTCCTTTCATACTTAATATCAAAAGACCCACAAAAGCCGCTTTTTTTCACCTCCACCTTGTTTTTAATTACTTTAATTACTTGCATTATTTTTCTTTTTTAATTATGCCAACGATCCATACAATTAAAGGGAGAACGAGTAAACAAAGGGGTGGAGGTTGAATGAGAGGGCAGTGTGTTTGTGTTTTTAAGAAAATTATAATCGACTTTTCGCCGAAAATGTGGAGGAGAAAAAAAAACCATTTTCTCCACCAGAAACTTCCGGCTGTAGTCGTGCCAGCAGAAGAAAATGTAAAAAGGATACAACACTTTATTCGTTCTTTTTTTTTTAACTCACACTCTTCTACTTCATAAACACACACATAAATACGCCGGGTGAAGATGGATGAATTTGTGGGTTTACTCTGTGTATGGGTTTAAACGTGGGAGGAGTGGGTGTTATATTCGAGTGTACGTGTGTCTCTATTCCCCCNCCCCCCTCTTACAATTCCTCACTCCCACATCCATAACTCAACCAGTCATAGGTCCCCCCCATCAGACGAATTCACCAATCTGATGAATGGGGCTAGAAAAAACCCTCGATCACTCAACGCAGATCAGTTTTTTTTTCGTTCAATCAATATTCAATTACAGTTTGGGAAATATTGGGATGAATTTTTTTTCGGAGTGATTGATTTTTGAATGGGGAGGAGGTGGGAATGACAGATCGGTTTGCAGTCACTCTGCAATAATAATCAGATTTTTTTCTATTGATGAAACCAGTGAACTGTGAACAAATCCCTTCTTTTGCACTTTTCAAGGGCTTTCAGAGGGATTTTAATTGTTGGGTGGGAAGAGATGTCGTCAAAGCGGTTGAATATGAAGTATTCTGTATTTTTTCATAAAACAGAATTTTTTTAATGCGGTTTTGAATAACATCCAACGGGTGATTAGATTTGCCAGGTTTTTGTGGATCTTTTTTGGGAATTCTTTGTGTATGGAGGGATTCATGTGGGTTTAATGATAATGTTCAATGGACTTTGAGGATGGAGTGTATTGTCCTGTATTCGAACGAATGAGATTTAATTCGTGAAATGAGTGATTCAAGCAATTGAATTAGATAGAGACTTGAGTATGGGTTCAGAAGTTCTTATTGAACTGTAATATTTTCTAATTGAACTGTCGTACATTGTAGACTCAGAGGAGAAGAACATGTCTTGTTTGACCCGGAAAATTGCTCGGTAATAATTGTGAAGATGGAAATTGTTTCATTTGAACATAGAAAAATTTCAACCATGAATCATTAAGAAACAAATAATTTGAATAACATCCAACGGGTGATCAGATTTGCCAGGTTTTTGTGGGTCTTTTTGGGAATTCTTTGCGCATGGAGGGGTTCATGTGGGTTTAATGATAATGTTCAAAGGACTTTGAGGGTGGAGTGTATTGTCCTGTATTCGAACGAATGAGATTTAATTCGTGAAATGAGAGTGATTCAAGCAATTGAATTAGATAGAGACTTGAGTATGGGTTCAGAAGTTCTTAGTGAACTGTAATGTTTTCTTATTGATCTGTTGCACAAGTTCTTATTGAACTGTAATATTTTCTAATTGAACTGTTGTACATTGTAGACTCTGAGGAGAAGAACATGTGTTGTGTGATCCGGAAAATTGCACATTGATAATTGTCAAGACGGAAATTGTTTCATCTGAACATGAAAAATTTACAAATATGAATCATCAAGAAACAAATTATTTGAGTAACACGATTGCAATCATGTCGTCATTATTATTCTGTTTAAGTATTAATTTCTTGCCTTCGAGGATTGGACAACCGAGACAAAAAAACAACTGGTCCTTGCGATGATAGAAAGACTCATTTATTGTTAACAAATGAATTTGTTCGAGTGTTCAAGATCAATTTCTTAATAGCTAATTTGATAGAAGCGTCGATTGTGAAGGGACACTGTTATTCACAATTAACTGAAAGAGTTATCGTGACAACTCAAGATTTATTAACTACTAATAAATTTTGTATTTGTCTTAATCTTTTTCTGTCAAATGATTTGTTGAGGGGAGAAAAATGATTAATACAGTGGATTTTGCCCCGTGAATCAACGAAACAGAGTTTTTCAATTTTAACTGGAAAATTGTTCAAGCGCCTCAGTTTTCATCCGATTGACAATTTTTTTAAATGTTCGCTAGACTCCAAAAAACAATGGTATGCATTCACTTTGCGATGCATAGATCATGGAAAATGACGGATAGATCATGGAAAAATTGAAGAATTTTTTTTCTTCGTTTATTGCTTTCGTATGGATTCATCGATTTTTCGGTTTTTTTTTTCATAAAGTTCATAAATGTTTTTTCTCATTAAGTTCATAAAGTTAATAAATGTCCCTAGAAGGTGGGATGAGTCGTAATGAATGTGCAAAGAATATATAAGTTCATAGATTGCATAAAGTTCATGATTCGTTCTCTTTTCAATACAATTCTAAAAGTTCATATAGCCACAGGAGATCCGTTTCCCCTTGAAACTAAAATTCAAATCCCCTTGTTTTATTCGGACACATCGAATGATTTCCTTACCTATTCTTTTGTTTCCAAAAATTGACGTCTTAGGTTGTTCATCAAATGTGGACGTCCACATGAAAAGGGACCACTTTGTCGATTCTAGTTTCCGAGATATTCATGTTTTTGTATCAGCAACTCCCATTTGCACCAATGTTAAATTATTTTTTCCATCTTCTCCAACGACGCCATTTTTGACCCTATGAAGATCATTTCGCACGGAGAGAAATGTTCAGTAAAAATTACGGAACGCTCCAAAAAAATTCCGAGACAGTTCCGTAAAATTTCCTACAACCATATTTCGCTCCGGAATATTTCTCTCCGTGTGGGCTCAAAATGTGCGGAATGTTATCAATATTATCAGAGCATATACAACACCATATCGACAAAGTGGTCCCTTTTCATGCGGACGTCCACATATTATTGGCTACAACCTGAGGCTTTCATTTCTTCGAAAGTCGAATGAACACAAAAATAATTGGAATCCTTTTTGGCCGCTTTGTATAGGCGTCTAAAATGAGAGTCGTTTGAAAATATGTTCTTAAATTCTCTCAGTGAATTTCGCAAAGGGAAAACGTTCTTCTCCCCTGAATTACCCATTTGTCCACAAAGAAACAGATCGGTTGGTTCGAATACTGGACGATTCATTCTGTTTGATAGGGGAGGATGTTGATAATTCATTAATAATGCTCTTTGGGATCTAGCTGGTATCGGCTGAGGGTAGCAACGTCTCGGACGGTGCGTCCCAATGCACGGACTCAGTGGCCCACAGTGAGGCCAAACACGACAGGGTAGATCACGTGCCACCGGGTATCACGAGTCGTGGCCCACCGGCACTATCGCACGACGATACACTGACTGAAACTGAAAGTATTATAAGCAGCAGACAGGGTCACCATTTGCACAAAAATTCGAAGCATCATTCGGATAAATATGAAAAATATAATAAGTACAACGGTACGAATTTTCGAATTCAGTAATACTTTTCTTGAGGATATCCAAGTACTTTGCGCATTTTTCCATCTTGCAGTAATGGATATCACGCTTATTATGTATGATTTCTTGTTGTTATTCCGGTCGTAAGGTAGTGCTTCGCAGACACTTCGCGTCCGTGAATTCCTGCCAAGAAATAATGTTCGTCACATGGCCGAACGAAACTTTTCAACCTCATGTTTGCAAGAGATTGCATTATTATTCGCCAGAATTTTTTTTTCAGCCTATTAACAAAATGTATTAATTTTCAAATTCTTCATCCGCAATTTGAGTCGGAAATTTTACAACCGAAACTATCCAAATCTATGATGTGGTCCGTACGTCTGTAACTGAACACCAGAGCTTCCATTTGACTCCAGATTACCAAATTTTTTTCAATGATGTAATTCAGTAGCGAAGTGGTAAAGCGGTTTAAGTCAATTCATCTCTTAGTTGAGTTTTTCAAGAATATCTCCGAATCAAAGGGAGGTAACGAAATTTTCGTAATAACCTTTTTTCTAGAGCAAATTGAGTGCTACAAAAAAGGTTTTGACAAAAATTTAGCTGTCTTCCTTAGATTCCGAGATATTCACTGAAAACTGGCCAATAGTCAAAATCGACTTAAACCGTTTTACCGCTTCGCTACTGAATTGAAACTTAAACTCCTTGAACTTGAACATAAACTTAATTTAAACATTGAAGTCTTAATTTCATTCTACATTTTGTACTGTTAGGGAATCATCTAATGATCTGAAAGAATAGAAATGTCACTTTTTGAAGAAGATGCATAAAGTGAGTAAAAAATTGCAATTTCTGAACAAGACGATTTGTCAGAAATAATTCATAAAAAAATAATTTCTTACTTCAAAATCCATCATTTCGACATTGTAATAGTACATTAGAGTACAAAAACAAAAAAATTGTTTTCGACGAATGTGAAGTTTATAGGCCGAGCTGAAGGTGAGGTCTGTGCTCACATTCGTTGAAAACGAAAATTATGCCCGAGTGATCTATAATATCATGACTCGTGGAATTTAATAATTATGAGTTTTATTCATGAAAATAAGAAAAATGGGACCAAATTAAAAATAACAAAAGAATAATAATAGTGATGCGAACTTCAGAGGAGAGATTTTCAAAAGAGAATGAAGAATGTAGGCATGATAGAATGCAATTGATATACAATTTGTAACAATATTTTCTGTCACACCGGGCTGAAGTCGAGTTTACGCTGCGCGCAGCGTGCGATGAACTCAACTTATTGCACAGCGTGACATAAAAATTTTTACATGTTTGAAATTTTACTAGAAATCAATTCTATGCTTCAAAAAATTAGATTCGCGAAAGTTTAAACAATTACTATCATTTATTCATAAGAATGCAATGCGAAAACAGAAAATAATTTTTACAGAATTCAATTAGAATGACGTCAAATTGACGATGTCAAATTTAATTGAGAAATGTGACGTCTGAAAATCTGCAAATCTATAGTGTGGCCCATGCGTAACAGTAAAAAGTACTTGGATATCCTCAATTCGTAATCACTGTTCGTAATCAATGCCGCGAAAGCTAGACAAAACAATAAAAATATATCGAGGATGTATGTCGGCGATATAAGTAATATCTTTTCCCTCCAGGACTGCGCATTAACGGCCACTCAAAGCACCGTTCTGGTCACGGATACGAGACTGCCTCAATCCTATCCTCCGATTTGGAAACAACAACTTTTTTGGAGTCTGATGACGATGCCAGCAGTCGTATAACATCAACAACTGGTCGACACACAAACATGAGTAGTACGATCGAACGTGCCACCCTAGGTGCATTACACTCATATCACAAACCGAATCCACTCCCCACATCTTGAGACTAAAACCCTGAATTCACTATTGAATTCATGAATCGTAAAATCAAACATCTCATTTTCATCACTTGTGATTGATCTCGGAAACGAGTGAATTTAGGAAAAACAGTCTTCAAAACTTTTTTTATTTAGAAAAACATCCAACAACAGAAGTTCTTCGATTTTTTCCTCTGAAATCACTCGACATCGAGATGAATCGCGATTCATCAACATGAAAATTAACAATTTCATTCACGCTTTACCACTCAACACCTGAATCCGGTAGTGTCGAACGAATTTTGACGATTTTAATTATCTCAATGACAGATCGTCGCAGACCGCAGAGACGACGACGGCACAGATTACCTCCGATGTCACGTACATCATCATTCAGCAGTATCACAGACAGTACAATGTCACTAAACATAATAACAGTATCATTGAACATGGATACTGTCAATTTCCTCGGGATTAGTATTGTGGGGCAGAGCAATAGCGGTGGTGATGGTGGTATATACGTTGGCTCCATTATGAAGGGGTAAGCAAACAGAGAAAATAAAAAAATGAGAGCAGTTGGAGAATCGAGGAAAATCCATAAAAATTCTCTCTCCTCTCGACAATGTCCAATTTAATCTCTCCTTTTTTATTTCCAGGGGTGCGGTGGCTCTCGATGGGAGGATAGAGCCCGGAGATATGATTCTCCAGGTGAACGACATTAATTTCGAGAATATGTCGAATGATGAGGCAGTCAGGGTATTACGGGAAGTTGTTCAGAAGCCAGGGTATGTTGAACTTGTGTTTCTAACTTTGACATTAGCTACTATGGGTTTATGGGTTTAGCTCTATAGCTATTACGGGCTTCAATGCCTTGATTTGATTGCAGGCCTATTAAATTAGTAGTAGCCAAGTGTTGGGATCCAAATCCAAAGGGTTATTTCACCATTCCACGCACGGAACCAGTGCGCCCAATCGATCCGGGGGCTTGGGTGGCTCATACAGCTGCTATTCGTGGGGAGGGCTTTCCTCCACGTCCACCCAGTGCCACGACCCTCACATCCACATCCAGCAGTCTTGCCAGTACACTTCCGGATACAGAACGTAAGGATTTTTCTTTGGGTAAATTGAATTTTTATTTATTGGGGAAGAGGGATGGAACTCCAGTTTTTGGTGAATATCTCAGAATTTGAGGGAGATTAAATTTTCAAAAAAAAAACCTTTTTGTAGTTTTTCTTTCGCTCACTTAACGGCATTTGTAAAGAACTATTTTGTTTGAAGAGAGAAGTGGGGAAATGGATATCAGTCTACTCCCCTTATGAAATGACCACTTTGGTTTTCAAAAAATATTTTTGAATCTAGAAGAGATATACAAATTCTAAAGGATTTTTATTCTAGATATTTCTTGTTGTTATCACGTCGGAATTCTGATATTTCGTTCAGATTTGAAGGTATTCATCAAGAACCAATTAGTTTTATAAGGAAAATGAAGAAATTAGAATTAGCCCACTCCACTCATGACATTTAGTTCATTTACTTCATGACGTCGGTTTTCAAAAAATATCGTGGAATGTTGGAGAGATGAAAATTCTCGTAAGGATTTTCATTCTAGCTATTTCTTATTATTATATCATCGGACTTCTGCTATTTTGCTTAGATTTAAAGATATTCGTTAAGAATTATTTAATTCTATGAGAAAAGTGGAGAAATTGGGAGCTTCACTCGTGGCATTTAGATTTTGGTCTTCTACAAATAGTTTGGTATCTATGGTTGGCATAGAAGTTCTCATGGCGAAATTCACGGGAGCCCTTATTTCAATCCACACAAGAAATTCTAAACAATTTTTTCCATCATGATTAGATTTGAAGGTGTCCCTAAATTATTGTAACCTAGGAGTTGACTCTGATTGATATTTCTGACCCTAAGGCAGACGTGAGAATAGAAAAACCGTTTCTGTAGGTCTCTTTCCGCTCTAAAAGAAAAGGTTTTCATCAAAAGTTTCCTGTCTCGCTAAGATTTGAAGGTATTCATTAAGAACTATTCCATTTCATGAGAAAAGTGGGACAATGAGAATCAGTCCACTCCGCTCATGAAATTTAGACTCTGCTTATCTCCCAGGGATTTCTACTGCAGCTACTCTTTGACTCTGTGAAACGATTTTTTTATTTTTAGTTATACACTCTGCACAAACAAATTCTTATCAGAATTCTTCTATTTTGTTTCGATTTGAAGATATGTGGAAAACTATGGTGATTCAGGAGAGAAATGATAAGGCCTAAGAATTTACTTTTCGATGGGTATTTTTGACGTTAATGGAGATAGGAAAATTTCCATAAAGACCTTTTTTATACGGTAATTCACATAAGAGTTCTCTTATCGGTTGTAGATTCCAACGGATTTATCAAAAACGATTCCATTTCTGTAATGAAGTCAAAACAGACGAGCCAATGGGCCTCTACCGAACTTTGGGTTTCCATAAATATTTTGCAATCCGAGAAAGATTGGACAATTCTCATATGTACTTTTTTGTAGTTCAAATTTTTTTATGGAAATATTTCTATGGTAATCTCCCTAAGGCCTTGAGAAACCCAAATATTCACCGTAAACACATTTTGAAATCAAATTTTGCGTGAAATTTTTCGTTTGCTTGATATGAAAATTGAATGGAAAATATCAGATACCCATTTTCTCATTTCAATAAATAATGAAAAAATAATAAGTCATAATGAAAATGTTTCTTCGAATGGTTGTACCTTCTGGCTTTTTAAGAATTCGTCAAAATAAAGAAAACCTTATCTCATATTCTTCATTCAATTTTCATATTTCACAATTTTACTGAATAAAAAAATTCACGCTACAACCTAATCCACCACTGGAAATCAGTCAAAGAAATTCAGGGATACCCAAGTTTGTGATATTAAATTACGATTAATTCCTCCCAAATCAACAATCACTTGAAAAAATATTTTTAAAAACTTTATGAGTTTAAATCAATTTATCATTACGTATTCAGTTTTCAGTTCAAGACTTGAAATTACTCATTAATTTGTTAATCACATCTCCCAATTAGGTTTGACAATGTAACACTCATTATGCATTACTAATTTTCATGATGCTACAAAAAGTGGTGATTACTGCCGATCCCTGAAGAAAATGTAATAATTCTCATTCTCCATTGTCCCCAGGCCCCCTGGAAGAATTACGCCTGAGTATCAATACAGACATGCCCACGATAGTCCGAGCAATGGCGCGACCCGACTCTGGCTTGGAGATTAGGGATCGTATGTGGCTGAAAATAACAATTCCAAACGCATTTATCGGTGCAGACGTCGTAGACTGGTTGAATACCCACGTTGAAGGTTTTATCGATCGTCGTGATGCACGAAAGTATGCATCGTTGATGCTGAAAGCCGGCTTCATCAGGCACACCGTTAATAAGATAACATTTTCGGAACAATGCTATTATATTTTCGGTGATTTGTGCTCGACAATGGCCAATATGAAATTGGATAGTGATACTGTTGCACCCCTACCACCACCAGGATGGGATGTAATGTATTCAGGACCCTATGCCCCACACTCAGCTGCTGGCTACAGCCCCATGCCATTCAATTTCACTAATGAACCGACAGTCTATGGATATCATCGTGAAGAAAGTGTTCACAGTGAGTCAGGTAATTTTTTTATCACTGGGGGATTCCTTTCTTTTTCACTCTCGATTTAACAATTCCATCAGAACATGTGGGAAAAATATAAACGAGGTAATTGAGTGATTAATACCACGTGCAACTAATTTATGTGGTCTGACGTAAGGATTCTTTTTTTTCCCGCAAGTATTTCCGGAAAAACACGTTCAATCTCGATGTTACGTCAATGGGTTTTGAGGGAATATAAATAATGGGGAGAATCACCAATGGATTATTTTGTCTCTTTAATTCGCTGGTTTATGGGAATACGTCATTGGGAATTGGCCATTTGGTTTAATTAATGATTTTAAGTTTCAAAGAAGAGCTTCACGATTTTTCTCGTTCTGAATTGAGAGAGATTTAAAAGGAGTATCTTAGAAGTGTTTGAAAGCCTTTGAATTTTTTATTTCATTTTTTCTTCTTCTACATATGATTTCGAAGGTGGAAGTAGTGCTGGCAGTGAACACATCTGCAAAGAGCCAATTCACGATTTGAAATCGTGTTCATCAGCGTCGGAAACAGACTTACATATGCCACCAAATGTGCCCAGTAAGAATTCAGGGAATGGCAATGGATCCAATGGAAAAAGATCAAATGGCAGTCGTAGTCGATCAAGTGGTTCTGAGCAGTCTGTACAAACGGGAACTGGCTCTACTAATCAGCAGAATCAGCAAGATATATCCGGTAGTAGACAGTCATTTAGAATTGCGATGGGAAATCCATGTGAATTTTTTGTCGATGTTATGTAGATGTTTTTTTTCCTTATTTTTTTTACTTTTGTAAATACTTTATTTTTATCATGAAGAATAGGAATGTCGATGTTTCGGATTCTTGGTAGCATGACGTATGTAGAGATGTTTCCAAATTGGGTAGAGATTATTTTCACTGTTGCGGGAGGGGATGAAGATGAGCCGAAAATTTTTTGGCTAGGTGGATTTCACCTGAATTTACGTGCAATTGAAATAGAAATAAGGATTGACTCATCTTCATTCTCTAGTCAACTTCAGAGTTCTATTTCTCAAAGAAAGAAATTGTAAATACAGATTTTCAACGATTGATAAGGGACTTTTTCATTCTTTTTATGGCATATGGTTGATGCTTGACCCTATTCTCAACAACTATTCAATTTTTTTTGGTCTAGAGAGCTGGATCCGCTGAACCCAAGGCGACTATGGTATAGTGCACGTTAATGGGATGCATGCTTTTCAAACTTCTATTCTCACGTACACTGTTAGAAAAAAATGGAAATTTCATGGACTGTTGAATAATAGTTGTCAGGAGAGTGACATTGAACTCGATTTAGGGGACAAAAAACTGATGGAATTTCAGACTTCACTGATGATTCACTTCATATTACCCTGATATTTATGAATTACGTTGAATTTCCAGTCGATTGGAAATTTAAAAATATATTTACCTGAATTTGCCTGATTTTCATTGACTTTTATGGTATAATTGCACTGAAATTTGTAGTTTGTTCTATTTTTTTCATTAAATTGTGAATTTTCAGTTACGAAAATCCCGGAAATTTCAGTGGAACTCGGAACAATTCCAAGAAGTGTCAATCCATTGAAAATCCAAGATTTTTATGGATTTTCGTGGCATAATTGAATTGAAATTTATGGTTTCTACTGATGTCTCCATCAAATCGTGAATTTTCAATGATAAAATTCTTTGAAATTTCAATAGAACAATAACGCAATAAAAATTTCCAAGAAGTGTACCGGAAATTTCAGTTAAAAATTTTCCAACAGTGTATTACTGTCTTAGTCGTAAGAATATCTCAAATCAGTTAATAATTCATACAACTGCACAATTATAAAAAATTACTTTTTTAGTAGACTATGGGCATGACTACTGTCACACGACTGAATGGTTACGGATTATTTCACAGCATGAGCAGTCAAATAGTGTTTTTCTTTTTATAAAAAAAAATACATATTTACAAGATGTCGCCAATTAATGTAATCCATTGCTTGCATTTTAGGATTGTCTACGACAATGGGGCAGCTATTTCTTTAAAAAAACAAAAGTCTATAATGCCAACGGGAGATTATTTCAAGTGAAAACGAATTTAATCACCTGCCTCCTGTTCCAAAAATACAGAAAAGAAAATAATAAAACGATTCATTTTTCTTTCCACTCGGCTACTACATATTTGAGCAGTCATAACGAGCTAATAGGTATAAGCATGTAATGCTTTACTGATAGAATCGTTAACGGGGTACGTAAGGTTAATTATTGTAGAGAATTATAATTATATAATACTCGTATATAGAGTCGTCATTAGGAACGTGCCAAACGTGGTGTTTTATTATTCAAACTGCTGTATACAGAATGGCATACTTTTTAATGGAACACAAGAAGAATGAACGAGAATTATGTAAATATAAACGTAACGAAGAAATCAACAAACAGAAAACAAAAAAAATAACGCTCAAAATTAAAAATGAAAAAAAGAATGATAACAAAAAAAAGTGCCATCAAAGAATTTCGTATTCGACGCGAATAACACTGATTTTTTCTATGTCGCCTGGAAACAATTTTTATCGAATATTTATACAAAAAGTATTGACAAAAATCAACAAAAAAAGTGGGAAAATTGTGGGAGAAGCACTGAATGTTTCAGGATGTACGGACTGCGTCATTGTTATTCCGTTGGTTTTTTTTAATTATTATCAGTTATCTGATACTTAATATTAAGTCGCTTCACGAGACGTTTTAATTGTTATATTAACAAAACGAACGAAAACTAATTTCTAGTTGTTTACATCATACCGTTAGTTTTGGTGAAAGACTAAGAAATTAATTATGTGAGATTGAAAAAATTCAAAACAAGGTATAAACTGTAATCTTAGGTTTTAACTGTATTTCAAGGTATACAGAGATTTTGCTATTATTGTAAGATATCGAAGAAGTTATTATTTCAATGTACAAAAATTGTTTTTTTTTTACAAATTTTCATTTAGTGAAACGCATCGATGGTGTTAAGTAAACGAAAGATTAAGCGGAAAACGATGAATGCCCTGTAATGTCGTACAATACAATTTTTAGAAATTATTACTTGACAAAAAAATGTGTTGCCTTGAATTCCCCCGTTTCAACTATCATCGATACCAGGAAAATTTTCATATTCTTCGACGTCGCCTTGGATAATCGAGCACGGTAAGTAAATTTCGGTTGTAAATGGTATGCCAGGGAGAATGAATTACACAATTCTCTATGATAATCTTTAGTTATCTCTGAACTGTCCCAAGGCGTAAGAATTTTTATTCTTTAGACTGATTCCATTGAGTTCACACTGCATCGACATGCGTAAGGTAGTACAGACTTATCTTGATTCATTTTTGTTGACATCTTCGCGAAAGATGACATTCAGAATTTCGGAATCCAGGATTGAATATCAATCGTTTTGAAAACTGTGAGGTGAATGTGCGTCAGTAGATAAACAAAGTTGAACGTTTTATTTTGAATTTTCTTTCGTCAGGATATTTAATCAAGCGTCTTCTCTCTCTAAGTGAAATCAAACATTCACGTGGAATAGTATATTTCAATACGAGTGGGGAAAAGTGGTTTTTGTCGTTACGCCCGTAAGGCAGCGCTGCAAAAAAATATTGTTTGTCATAAGGCTTGAAAAAACTTTTCTAGTTCGTATGATTGCCTTCGCCTCGGGCTGTACACTCATATTCGGCAGAAATTTTGTTTTCGGTCTTATGACGAAATCCACTATTTTAACTTGTGGGAGGTGCGGAATGCGTTATTCCGTTAAAGTTACACTACAATGACGTAAAGCAGGTAGTACAGACTTATTTTAATACATTTTTTGCCTTCTTCGTCTCTTTAGACGAAATCAAACATTCATGTGGAATAGTATATTTCGAAACGAGTACGGAAAAGTGGTATTTGGCTTGCGGGAGGTGTGCAACGCGTGTTATTCCATTCGTGTGGAATAGTGCATTTCGATTCGAGTGTGGAACACTGTTAGAAATTTTTTGAAGTTTCATAGAAGATACGATAGTAATTCTCATGAGAGTGACATTGAATTGGATTTAGGGGAAAATGGTTATGAAGTTTCAAGTTTTTCAAGTTTTTTCAGTTAATCAAGCGTCTTATCTCTCTAATTGTAATCAAACAATTACATGGAATAGAATATTTCGATACGAGTGCGGGAAAGTGGTAGTTTACTTGCGAAAGATGTGTAATGCACGTTATTCCATCATGTTTACAACATAAAGAAGGTAGTGCCTTATTGACTTATCTCAATACATTTTGTGAGGGCTTCGTGAAAAAATGTTATCCAGAATTTCAAATCTCAGGAATCGATTGTATTCCATCAATTATCGATCGTTTGAAAAATGCAGGGCAAACATGCATCGGTAGATAAACAAAGTTGAACGTTTACCGGGGAATTTTCCTTTATCAAGACACTTAATTAACTGCCTTATCTTTCTAAATGAAATTAACCATTCAGGTGGAATAGTATATTTCGATACGAGTGCGGGAAAGTGGTAGTTTACTTACGAGAGGTGTGTAATGCGCGTTATTCCATCATGTTTACACTACAACAACATAAATAAGGTAGTTCAGGATTATATCAATACATTTTTTGACGTCCTCATGGAAAAATGTTATCCAGAACTGTGTTGTGAAGTGGTAAACTAGGATAAGTGCAATTTTTTTGATAAATTTTCAATTGCCTGCATCGAAAGTTCTCTTAAATGTGGTCAAATTTTTTAACTCTCTTGGAAATGTTTCATTTTCGCACTTATCCTAGTTTACCACCTCGTTACAGAATTTCAAAATCCAGGAATATTACCTCCCATTGATTACCGATCGCCAAAGTTGAACGTTTGACTTGGAATTTTCGTTTATCGAGACACTTAATCGACTGTCTTATCTGTCTAATTGAAATCAGACAGTCATGTGGAAATAATTTTCTCTTTCAGACTGAGTTATTCCATTATATTTACACTACAACGGAATAAACAAGGTAGTACAGACATATCTTGATACATGCTCATCACGTTTTTCTGAAAGATGGTGTGTCAGAATTCCAGGAATCCATCAGTCTCACTCATTGCTATCGATTATTTTAACAATGCAGAGTGAACGTACATCAATTCATAAACAAAGTTACATGTCGGGATAGGCATATCCATAAATTATTATATATATATTTTTTATGATTCATAAATTATAATTACTGTTAAATTATCAAGTAGTCAACTGCTTAATATCACTCTTAAATTTTAATTATTGAAGTAATCATCAATTTAAATAGTCAGCTTTCGAATTATTCGTTAATCAGTAATTGAGTTAGAAGGATTGACGACTATTTGGATAATCGGAAATCCCTTATAAGAAATTTAATGTTATCTACTTCATAGAAAATTTATAGTTTCATATTTTTAAATATTTAATTCATTGTCAATTGGAAATTTGGATTATCAATTATTTTACTATTTTTTAATTTCGATTAGTATATTTAAACCTTGATCAATGTAAGTTGGAAATTCTTTTCGAAGAATCGGATGATTGATGGCCATCCCTGGTTGCATGTTTGATTTGCAATTTTCCTTCATCGAGACACTTAGTCAACTGTCTTGAAAGAGGAAAATTATTTCATCGAGCTTGCACTGCAACGAAATAAATAAAGTAATGCTGACTTGTCTTCATACATTTTAATGACGTCTTCGTGGAAAAATGTTATGCAAAATTTCAGAATTCAGGAATTCATTATTGTCTTCCATTGCACGGACGAAAAAATTTAATAGAAAAACCTATCAAATTCGTTAGAAAATGATATCGATTTTCTATTGAACTGTTCTATTAGTTTTTGGCCGATTCTATTGAAATGTTCAATATAAAATATTCAGTAGAAAAAGTCAATAGAATTCAATTTTTCTATGTAACTTATTCTGTTGAGATATTTTCTATAGAATTTCCTTGGCTCAAATGTTCTAAGCTTTTTTGTTTGATTTTCTTGATGAGAAGAAAAGAAAAATAGAATGAAAATTTGAATGCAAATTCTATAGAAAATATATGAAAACAATAAGTTATATAGAAAAATCGAATTCTGTTGACTTTTTCTATTGAATGTTTTCTATTGAACATGTCAATAGAATCAGCCAAAAACTGATAAAAAGTTCAATAGAATTTTCTAACGAATTCGATAGGTTTTTCTATTAAATTTTTTCGTGTGTGTGATTACCAATCATTTGAGAAATATGGGATAAATGGGCATCAGTTGATAAACAAGGTTGAACGTTTTATTTGGAATCTTTCTTCATTACAAGACACTTGATCAACTATCTCATCTCTCTACTTGAAATCAAACAATCGTATAGAAATCATGTTTACGCTACTACGAAATAAACAAGGTAGTACAGACCTATCTTGATACGTTCTCATCACGTTTCTGTGAAAGATTGTGTTTCACTATTTAAGAATCGAGGATTCGCGATTGTTGTCACGAGCTGAGTATCTATAATTTCAATAATGCGGGTCGAACATGCATCAGCTGATAGACAAAGTTGAATGTTTGATTTGGAACGAAACGAAGACACTTAATTAAGTGAATTGATGAAGTGATACGTGAAATCAATAATTACATTTGATGTGATTTTATTTTATACCAAGTTGACACGAATTAAAAAGGATAATATCGACAGCTCAATAACCGAGTAGCGTATCTACGTAGGGAACTCATAGGACTTACGTTTCTGTTATTAAGCACGGAAAAAAAAATACTTGAATCAAGTATGTTTTATACTCAATTGGGAATGGATATTTCAATTCGAAGATGATTGTTTTTCAAGTTCCACTAAAATTTCAGGAAATCTTGTCATTGAAAATTCAGAATTTATATTTTTCCCTGAAAATGAATAGAAAATGAAAGGAAATGAAAATGAATAGAAAACCAGAAAATTCTGGTAAATATATTCTTGAATTTTTTAAACAGTGACATTAAATGCGATTTAGGAAGAAAAAAATCATGAAAATTCAGATTTCACTGAAAATCCAATGTAATTTGACACTAAATATTCATATGAGATTGGAATTTCAAATAAATTAAGGAATTCTCGCCATTGTGCCGCTTAAAATTCTGGAATTTTACTGATTTTCAGTGAAACCTGAAATTTTATGATTTTTTTCCCCCTAAATCGCATACAATGTCACTGCCCTGAAAATTGATAGTCAACTGTCCATGAAATTGCTATTTTTTTCAGACAGTGTAGAATACTAAAAAAATTGCAATCGTCTATCTTTTGGTCGGTGTTTACCTATTGATCTGATTACCCTATTGTCCTTAAGTAATCTTCTGCCCTCTGGGACATAATAAATCACTTGAATCAATCAATTGATCATCGATCATTCCAACAATGTGGGGTGTGTAGACACCAGTTGATAAACAAAGTTGAACGTTTGATTCGCCATTTTCCATAATCAAGGCACTTAATCAACACTCTTATCTCTCTAGTTGAAATCAAACAATCACATGGAACTCATTTTCTCAAGAAGCTGATTAATTCTCAAGAGTGACATTGCAACAAATGATCATTTAGACGGGAGATGAAAAAACTCATGACGATATATGGTAACTTAAAATAACTTTAAAAATAATTCTCCCACGAAAAGTGGTTCTCTCGACTTCCGATGAATGTGGGACTGAGGGAGATGATAAAAAAGTGCGATCCAGTGCAAAAAACGATATCGTCTACCAGCTGCACGATGTAGGAGTAACAAAGACGAGTAATAAAGACGGAAAATCAAGGGGGAGTGACTGGTGTGTGGGTGGGTTAACGTTGGCGTTTTAAAGGCATTTGGGTAATAATTCCTGAATTGTGTTGGGATACTGACGTATCTCTCTTATCTCATGTAGACGAAAAAGATTATCCGACAGCTGCGTCATCCACGTTCGATTGAAGGAATTGATTGCCCTGAACAACCTAATAAAAAACCAAGTACATGGTACATACAGCAGACGCGAGAGATACAGGATTATGCGAATAGCCATATAAGTTCACCAGCAGAGAACACTGGCAGCCCTATCTATTCATTTCAAAATACTTATTTTTAGATTAATAGAAAGAATCGTGCTTCCCCCTCTCATGCGCTGAAATCAGAATATCATTTGCTCATTTGCTTGACTGCGTAATTATACAACACCATTAACCATCGCGACTATAAAAATTGCGATAACAATCGTTAAACACTCGCGTCTCATCCAGCATTGAACTCGTTCTCACATGTCGATTAAAAACAATGCACGAGATAACTCTCATTCTATAAAACTATTTCGTCATTTTTGACTTCTCAGCAGGGATCGGTATCAATGATTAGATTAGTAATATGAGAAGTTGCACTTTACAGTAATCAAGTTTGACTTATTTTCATTCATATTTGAAAAATAATAAAATAATTGGTAATTAAATTGTGAATTGATTATTGAATAAATTATTCTAAATTTCATAAAAAGGAGTTTCAATTCGCCAAGCATATGATAGACGTAGGCGTACTTCAAGTTTATCTTAACTTATGAATAAAAAAATATGTGTAATAATATATAAAAAGAATATATAATAATATATAGTAATAATATAATAATTTATATATTTTATTTTATACATTTTATATATAAATAATTTTTTTTTATTCATAAGCTAAGATAAACTTGAAATATTCTTAAGTTCAGCACATGCTTAGCCTTTAAAGGTCAACATAGGATTGATGAAATATATTGCTGGTCGAAAATATTTTACCTATTTTTTAATAGAGGATTAACGCGAAAATTAGTGGACAGTTCTCGGCAAAAGCTTACATGCAACACTTGGAAAATGGGACCAATGTGAAAGTTTTTAAAAATCACTACTCAATTTTTTTCTCAAATCTAATCATAATAAAAGCGGAGATTAACTCCATTTCAATGAATAAATGAATACATAATGATATGAAAAAAAATATGCATAAATCACTAGCCGCGAAGCGCATCCCCTTTCCCAGTTGGTGGATAAAATAATTAGCAATTTGAGTATTTAATCCATAATTAATTTAATAATCAAAAAATTGTTGAGTAATATTAATAACTGACTTATTCAAAATTTAATTGTATTTAAAATTTATGATTATACCGATGTCTGCACCTCAGTTTCTCCCAAAATATCACGGCGTATTCGCGACAACGGCCTGACACCTCTTGACTCCTATTATCAAGTAAATTCCCCTCTGATGCTAATCCGGAAGGGGAATAATGATAAACATTGGACGCGGAGAGGGGGCTCGGGGCAAGAGGGGGGAGGAGCGGCGCTTGAATTTGAAGATTGGCGCTTTCGTAATGCAAGGTTGCCTCGGAAAAGTGTTAATACCATGACTGAAGGTTTCAATTCCTTTGGATAACAACGCGAATTCACGAGCGCAGTCACGCGAACGTAACAACACTACGCGAATCAATTTTGCCGGTGGGCATTGACAATCAGACCGACAATTTTCAAACGATCGTGTTGAAAAACTTGAATCGACGGGTCATCCTCATGGTTTGATTATTTCAATAATACAGGGAATCCCCATTCTTATTATTCAGCGGCACAGCCTCTGTGGACGTTCGCTCTAATTAATTTGTTCGTAATTGTTGTTATTCCGTGAGTCAATAAATTAATGATAACCATATGTTTGAAGTACTCTCAGTCGAAGTTGTGTTACGCACTTGACTTTTCATTTTAGTGTTAGTGCCTCATATTATACATTTTTTGCTTTATTTTTTTTTTACATCGTCTGGGTGGGGATGAAAGGAAACTGAGAGTGTCTCTGCGGTTCTACCGTTTGGGTTCTGCCAAGAAATGCCTCCGGGACTGTATCTTTAAGTAAGATCTCATCAGTCGCATGCAGGTACTTGAAGGTTAAACAACTGGTGAACAACTAGAGTGAACCCGATTACACCACGAATGTGCCATAAGTGTTGGTGTATTCAAGGTAGAAATCAACATTTTATACAATTCCCATTGGTTTTTTAAACGGCAATTTTTTTTCACCCATAACTTGATGGAGGTAACGGAAATTTACAGACGCACATTTTCGCATGTAAACTCGGGAAAAGGGATCGGGTCTGTGTTTCACGCGGGTCTTCAGCCGCGTGAGGATTTAAATTTAAATATAGTACCAAAATAAAGTTGCAGTCGAAATTACCGCACGCATCTATTTACACTTGAAAAACTCCAGATTCTATAATTACAACTTCGCTACTTAATCCCACTTGTAACGATGAATTCCTCATTGTTGCGAAATACCGAAAGCTCGATTACTTTTTTTTCTCATCTCACGCGTTACATGTGTCACTTTTATCACTTGGATATCACGCTAGTTCTTTATACGGAGCGAAAAAAAATAATCGAAAAGGAGGAAAAAATTCCACTCGTCCACTCATTGCCTTGTCTCTGTAATTTTCCTCTATTTACCTTGTAAATCAACGCTTTGAGTGGACAATTTTTTCCAAATCTGTGTCATTTCCTCTTTTATCTCGCTTGATTGTTACGCACCATGTCGAAAATGAAATTCTCGCTATTTAAAGATGGGCGCACGTGGCCAACGGCGCCCTGTGGCGGCTTCACTTTAGTTTTTATGTTGTGCTACAACCGTTCGATGCAATTAATTATCATGAGAAATAGTTCACTAATTGTTTCTCAATCGCGAGGAATTCGATTAGGATTATCTATTTATCTTATCATAATCCATCACTCGATCGCGGAGGATAATATAAACACGGCCCTATGCTCTCAGTGATTGTAGTGAGATACAGGACTACGATTGGGTATTTTTATTAGTGTCATAGCCAAAGTCACAGTTATATCCGGTTGTTAAAATTGTACTCCGATCAGCGGCTGAAGGCATCAGCCAATTAAGCGCACATTGATTACATAAATAGTGGCGGAAATTCAATTTTTTTTTCTTCAGGCTTATTTAATTCGTTTGTCGAGTGTGAGACACAGGGACGTTATTTAGTATTAATTGTAATTCGTGGGTAGGGATAATCGGACGAAATTATTCATGCTAATAGGGCTTTCTTGTGGGCGGCCTACTGTTATCATATAATAAAAGGTGAGCACGTGATGAATTAGTGAGTGTGACTCCTTGGGAATCAGTGGGATTGTTCAGAAAATGGGTCACTGGGATTTCAATGGCCAGTGGTCAGCGGCACTTTTTAATCTCAATCATGAGGTTTATTTGGTTTTTCAGATGGAGTTGCAAGCGAATCCCACGACAGTTACCGCTGAGAAACACTCGAAACTGCGAGAGACTGCATTCGAGGGATCGAAAATTAGTGTGTAAGTTCAATTGATTAATTTTGAAAGGTTTATGTAAAGATAGGTTTCAGCCTACGAGATATTGGGGATATTGAACGTTTGGAATGGTCGCACTGGAAAGATATTGTATACTTTTAAAAATATTCGGCTGAAATTCCCAGTATACTCCTTTTTATGGAGAAATTGATAAAAGAAATTTTCATTATATCACGGAGAGAAATTTATGATAAAAATTATCCTACCGTTCTATAAAAGTGTCATGAGTCATCGTTTCCTCATTTCTATCCCGAAATTTAGTAAAAATTAATATATGATGATCAAATTTTATTCTACGTTACAGAAATTTTATCCTGATAAAAATAAAAATTACCGCGACGCTAGGGTAAAATTACCAACCGTTCTAGAATTTTGGTTATCTGCATAAAAATTATTGGGCTGGAAGGGTAAAATTTATTATGCGTCAGGATAAAATTTCTCTAACGTAGAATAAAATTTGATCATCATATATTAATTTTTACTAAATTTCAGGATAGAAATGAGGAAACGATGACTCATGATAGACTTTTATAGAACGATAGGATAATTGTTATCAAAAATTTCTCTCCGTGTACTGTAAAACGTAAAACGAAAACGAAAAGTGAAGGAAAAGTCTTTTCATTTGCTTGTAAACGAAAAAGGCACAGTTCGGCCACCCGCTGAACATAAAATCACTGTCAAAAAATATTGTTCGACACATGTGAGACGGGAATTTCTACGAGTGTGCAGTTGGCGGCTCGAGACGAAGCCAAGGGCTGCCAATCACTCGTATCGAAATATACTAGTTCGTCACTCGACTGAAAACAACTTTTCTGACTCGTGTGATTGCATTCCTCGGTTTCGCCTCGGTCTGCAACCCTCACACTCGTCAGAAAATTTTTTTTCGGCCTTGTGACTAAAATAGCTATGTTATTGAGCTACAGTTTCATGGAAATTTGACGAAATTTTGTATTTGAAAATTCAGCATGATTTCGTACTAAATATTCATATTTTGATTGACAATTCAAGGAAATCGGGTAATTCTGGTCTGACAATTGCACAACAATTTGAAATTTCGTGATTTATGCCCCTCTAAATCTAATTCAACATCACTCCAAAATTACTACTTAAAGTGGTATACACAGAATTTGAATTTTGAGGATTAAAATCTAAAATAAATTCTAAACGGAAATTGATATAAATGGAAACATTTTGTTTGAGTTTGTGCTCAATCTGCAGTCTAATATTATTGATAATAATTAATTTAGAAGTGCTAAAATAACAGAGTCTTATCAGAAAATGAACTTTTCAAAGATAGGGAGAAGATGAAAATAAAAAATATCAATGATAAATCAGTATTTTTTTAAACATTTCAAATGCAGAATATCTTTTACACGAAGAGAAATGTTCAGTAAAAATTACGGAACTCACAATTCGCTCACCGATTACGGAATCGACGCCTGAAATTTAAGTGACGGTATTGTAATTTATCACAGGACATTCAGATAAAAATTACGGAATGCGCTGGAAAAATTCCGTGACAGTTCCGTAAAATTTCCTACAACCACATTTCGCTCCGAAATTACGGAAAAGATACATAATTTTTATTGAATATTTATCTCCGGGTAAAATAATGGAAGTAATAATTGAATAAACACAATTGAAATTTATGGAACAAGAAAATACACTTCGGAGTAGACTGGATATTTAGTACATTTGGTGTACGATGTAATTAATAATAATTCAATGAATATATTTTATGGAATGTCGTAAGTGCTCCCGCGAAATCTCTGGGCGAAATGAACCGTTCTCATCCACTTCCCCGTTGGGGCTTCAAACCGACGTTCGTCATGTGTTTAGTCTAGACCAGGCCCGTTCCTGGTAAAACTGCACAAGCTATGCCATATTGGGACGTATGAAAAAATCGTATAGAAATTTTCTATACGGATTGCGTATAGAAATTCTATAGGATTTCCGTATATGATATTCGGATATTTCTATTCGAATTATTTCTATACATAAATTTTTACATAAATTTTTGTTTTCATACGAAAGATATCTAAACGCTCCAGAGAAAAACGTAGAGTGGGTCGTACAGGATCAAACCTATAGAAATCGTATAAAAATAATTTGTATAAAAAATATCCGTATAGAAATATCCGAATATCATATACGAAAATCCTATAGAAATTCTATACTCAATCCGTATAGAAAATTTCTATACGATTTTTTCATACGTGGGTCCTTAGTGCATCTCGATTAAAATAACCGGATCACAAATTAATTAATTTTTCCTCGTGCCACTCAACAACTCAACTGGAGTTTATTCATACCACTTTACCTAGAACTAGAGAACTAGAACTTTTTCTCTGGTTCTCAGAGAAATTTAACTGGAATCTAGTACGTTTAGTCCCTGGATTTCAGTACCACGGAGTACTGAAATCCGCAGACTTTTATTAGAAACCATAAACTTCTTTCCTCTGTGATCACGTCAAATTTTCCTATTCGAATTCTTTGGAATGTATGGAATTTTTGTTTCATCAGCAATGGTGATAACTATGGAGTATTTCGATCGAATGATCCTATTCTCGCAATCACCAATCGCAGAACCAGTACAAGATCGCAACCGGATCACATTACGGCGGATCATCCCACGTCGTAAGTAATAAAATGAGAAGATAGAAGTAAACAGAACAGAAAAAAGAAATAATGCAAGTTCGAGAGTGATAACTCGGCGAAGGTGGAATAAGCAGATAAGCTGATACATTTTAAGAATTCTATTGTGCTGTAAAGATGAATGACTCAATGAGTCATGGAAGTACTTCCATTGAATAACTCAGTAATCTATTTGGAGGATTGTTGAGAATGTTCAAGTAATTTTTACAGTTCTAAGCAGTCATCAAATTTTTTAATTAAATTCTTTGAGAAAATCTGTCAAAAATCATGAATAATTAGGCTTCATTCGTATCGGATTTTGTAAGAAATTCCTTTTTTCTCAAATATTTACTCTATGGATAAATGATAAAAAAACTGAAAATCTATTTTTTTTTGCATGAAATCGATTTTTGGCAAAATGTTCGAAAATTCATTGATTATGAATAATATTTTGGTAATAGTAATGTTATTATCAATTATTTTATGAATCTTCTCCAGAAATTTTGTTTTCTGGAAAAATGAAAAATAAAATTTAAATTTTCCACGGATGGACAGGAATTTCTCTCGATTTTACCCTTAAATACCAGTAATCATTGAAAATTCTCGAAATTTTTAACAAAACTGATAAAAAAGACAATGTGTCTTGAAAAAATATTTCAATTTTTACAAAAGTTCTTTAATTTTTGACTAGAGCTCTGGTAAAATATCTTGGAAGATTAATACTGTAAAATTACTAGAACATGGAAGGAATTTTCAACGGCATTTTCCTTCGCTAAATTGCAACATTAAAATCATTACAAAATGTTCAGTCCCCATTGGCTTAATTGGATTTAAATGGAAGCTGCGATATTAAAAAAAAGCGATCAAAGTACTCGGATATCCCCAACAGCTATCACGGAAAAATATGCCCTCGACCATTTCTCTGTCTCTACCTATTGAATGAGATCATTCACAATATTGAATTTATCTGCGAAAGCTATCACGAGGCCACTGATCCGCTTGTTCCACTCGATTGCACAGATATCACATCTGTGAATGGCTGAAACTAATGAAAAATTCATTAACCCGCAAAGTTTAATCCTCCCAAATAAAACCGAAATAATCAAACTAATGAACGAGTTAATCTTAGGTATTGCGAAACGATGATGCACTTGTTCAAAGGAAATGTTGGTTCAGGAATTTTTGCACTTGGTGATGCGTTTAAAAATGCCGGATTGTTGCTTGCACCACCGCTCACTATATTCCTCGGAATCATCTGTGTACATGCCCAGCATATACTCGTACGTATGAATATATAAAAATAGATAAGAGTGAGAATACATTGGCTCGTGTTAAAATGAATCAACGTTTATTGATCTAATCGTGTGCGTCAACATGTATTGATCGGATTTAACGAGTGTCAATTGAGCAGTGGCAGACTAAAACTTTGAATTGATTAAAACATTCGTGTGAGGGTAATGGAGGATACAAAGTTCGGTGGAATACGTGGGAAATTTATCAATTTAAATTGTCTTTCATTACTACTAGTCATTGAAGAAGGAGCAACCGGTTGATTGGCATTAAAGGATATTTTTTTTCACATTTGTTTGCAGGACGTGCTATATGAATATTAGAAAATGGATTATGAAAACATTCGCTGACAAGTTCAACATCAAGTTATGGTAATTGCGTTGTTTTGATGGATTTAACTCTGCTTAATGAATGATCGGAATGTGAGTTTCCTCAAGTGTTGAAATTTATGCTATGACAAAGAACTATTGCAAAGTTTTAGTCTTCTTCTGCTCGTGAACAAATCAGAAAAATTATCACTCCGTTGGTCGCGCGCTTAACGTCCCGCATTCTTCACAATTAGGGGACATTCACATACGTGGATTACGTCAGGCGTTTTTTGAACTTTTTAGACCCCTCCCGACCCATCTCTCAGTTACAAAACGTCAGAAACGTGGACCCCTCTGCATATTACGGCACAGTATTCACGATCTCCCCTTGTTCTGACGATTTTTTTAGTTTCTTTGTGAATTGAAATTGAGAAGAAATAAGAATAAGAGAAAGAAGGCGAGTGATTAGGGGAACGATTAAATCTTTATTTGATGTTCTTTGAACATTTTGTAACTTCTTAAATTGTTGCCATCACAGCATTCCAAAATGACCCTTTGTGGATTTTTGGGATAGTTTTAAGAACTGTTGAAACCGTTGTTTTTTTTCTTTGAAAAAGGGAACGAGAACCCAATTGTATTTGCGCTTTCGTCGATTAAAAATTTAAAAAAATGGTATGACGCCACAACTTAAGCAAACCTTCCCCCTGAGCGTCACAAACTACAGATCTCCGGTCCTCCTAATCGTGTGACGTGCTATTCGAATGCCCACTAAATCGCATTAAATTATTTTAAAGCCTCACAAAATTTGACAAAATTTGTATAAAAACTTTGTATCGACAAAGTTTGATCGAAACAAAATTTCTACAGTAAAATGTAGCAATTTTTATGTCAAAACTCCATCGGTAGTTTTGTGTTACGAAACAGCGGATCGCTGAATGCCCCAAAAACTACTCAACTTTGAACTGAAATTAATACTTAAGGTTAATATTTGCAGTCAAAATTTGTTGTGAAGTTTAATCAACGATAGTCCGAAGTTAATTGTCAATTCTTTAAAAATTTTCCGTGTTTCGATTATATACACCACTGCTATGTCGCGACCAACAGAGTGCTATAGCAATATTATATCACTCCGTGCGCCAAGTCGAGTTTATCGCACGCTGTGCTGCGTGCAGCGTGCTTCAAACTCGACTTCTCCACGGGATGGTAGCCACACAGAAAAATCTAAACAAAAAAGCGTGTTTTACGATCAAAATCAAAATCAAAATAAATTACGACCAAAAAGCGTCTTCTGCGTATCACTAAGCGCATTGCACACTTACGAAATCGTAAATTACTATCTTAATTGAAACGTATTTTACGATTCAATTATGCGTAATTTACGGAAAAAAAAACATCGGATTTTAAGCTTGAAATAACTTTTTTTCTTCGTCGTTAATTACGCATAAGTAAACGTAGAATGCAAAAAAAATCATCGGAATTTACGAATACGAAATCGTAAATTACGTTTATGTAATCGCAATGTAGGGTGATTTTCTGCGTAATTTACGCTGCAACTTCAAGCGTAAAATAAGCTTCAGGAAGCGTAAAAGACGACTTCTTAAACGTAATTTGCGTTTAGGTTTTTCTGTGTGTATACTGAGAAAAAAATATAATTCTGTCAATCAACTTAATTTCAGACAAGAATTTATACTGAAATTTTGTATGGAAATTTCGGGCATTGGTTTGAATTATATTCCTAGAATTATATTCTTTTCTCAGTGTAAAATATTAAAAGACTGCTCAGCCATAAACTTCATTTTAAATCAATGTGAATACAGATCTCTCTCGGTCTGTAAACGTCGCATTGGTTGAAAACGAAATTTGTGCCCTTGTACTAAAAAAACAGAGTATTATCTACGATGAGTTAAAGAAGATGATAAAATCTCAGTCATCTCGATATTATCGATTGATTAATAATTATCGTTCCTCAATTGGGTTGATTATTCGTCTATTCTCTCAATGTAGACATCATCATCTTCTTTAATTCATTTTCTATGAAATTGTGGAATCAGCTGTGGATAATTATCAATTGCAGCTTAATTGCAATGATGAGGTGATTAAGCGCCTCGGTGATTCGGCAAAGCAGGAGGCGCTTGGCTATGCGGGCACCGTGGAGATGTGTTTCGAAATTGGCCCACTACGGTTACGAAAGTATTCAGTATTAATGAGGTGAGACAAAATGTTGATGAAAAAATATATAAATATCCAATGATATATCTTGCACAAGATGATTAACATTTTTTTTGTTGATTTTTTTTTCTCTTATCACTGAATCCCGGCATTTAATTTTACTTCAGAAAGATGGTAAATCTATTTGTGTGTGTAACGCAGCTCGGATTTTGCTGTGTTTATTTTGTCTTCATATCGACTAATATGCAGCAGGTAAAGTTGAGAGTATTCTCGTTGCGTACGTGTTATCAGTTTACTTTCACGTGACAATAATGTGATGTTTTCTTCCAGGTATTGGATCAGTACGGGTTTCATGTCAGCGTTGGATGGCACATGGCTATTGCACTGGTGCCCATTCTTATGAGCACTTGGATTAGGAGTTTAAAATTTCTAACACCTTTGTCGTCTATCGCTAATTTGCTGGTTGTATTCGGTTACATTGCCACTGTTTATATAATATGCAATGGCCTGCCGCCTTTGAGCGAGAGAAATTATGTCGCTAGTTGGAATCAACTACCTCTGTTCTTCGGCACTGTGATTTATTCCTTCGAAGGTATTACTTTGGTAAGAGAATTATCGTTGATATGAGTTTTGACAATTTTAAGGGTTTTGAGGATATCCACGTACTTTGGCCATTTCTTCAGTCTTTCAAGCAATGTTTTTGGTAGTTTAAGTTTCTGAATATGAAACATTTTGGAAATCTGAAGAACAAACAAATCGTAAAAATTGGTTTCATGTTCAGAACTGGAATAAAAATTGATTCCACGTAAAAAACAGGTTTCCAAAAATTTAAACAATTTCGATGGTTTATTAAAAGCAGGAGATATTTGGAAGGCAAAAGTTTTCTGCATAATGCATTTGACATACGCTGATTATTCACGCATTTGACAAATTTTCTCTCATGCAATTTTTCATTGAAATCGTTATCCACATTTGCAGTTAAATATTCAAGTCCCATTGGAGTCTAGGTTACAGACAATTGTGAACCTTCACGTTCTGCATTAGATCCTACATTTTGAACCGTTAGGAAATATTCGAAAAATGTAAATAGAAAATTAAAATGTCAACTTCTTGAGGAAAATCGTGAACTTTTTTCATAATAATTTACAAACGATCAATTTCTACTCAAAATTTTTTTAATGGTAAATAATTTGCAAATAATTGTTCTCATCCCGATATAATGCGGTCCTCAAGAATTTAAACAATTGCGATTATTTCGCCTGAGAAGAAAATTTATCGAGAACGTACTTTTTCAGCAAAATGTCATTTAAACGACGTTGATAATCCCTGACTTTTTAAAAATTCTTCTCACCCAATTTTATTTATAAAGAGACCTTTCATTCTGGAAATCTAGAGGAAATATTTATTCCGTTTATCAAATTGAAAAATCTTCGGAAAAAAGATGAAAAATTCTGATAAATATTGACATTTACGATAATATCGATTTGAGCACTCAAAAATTATGATTAATATGTAAAATTGTAAAAGTGTCCGAAACTCCTAGGGGAATTAACATGGGAAAAAAGCGTCCGAAGATCTAGTGACTCTTAGGATGAAAAGGTCTATTTGATGATTGCAAATCTCCAAAACTCTGATGTGATTCATATGAAACTGTGAAAGATACTTGGATATCATTAATCCATTCTCTCGAAATTTTCCAACTAAACATAATTTTTTTATTGCAAGGTACTGCCACTGAAAAATGAAATGAGAAAACCAACGCAATTCAATAGTCCCCTTGGAGTATTAAACACTGGAATGGTAATAGTTGGTGTGATGTTTGTTGTCATGGGCTTTTTGGCTTACCTTCAGTATGGAGAGGAAGTGCGCGGCTCGGTTACCCTTAATCTCAATTCTAAAGAGATGTGAGTTGATTTTGTAATGAATTACCCAACCTTGACATAATTTTCTTTCGCTCACTATCCGACATGAATAAAAAATGTATTATGATATTCATGTTTATTTACTTGCAGATTACCACAGTGTATCAAGATCGCTATATCCCTATGTATTATGCTCTCGTATGCTCTGCAATTCTACGTACCAATAGCCATAATTTGGCCCAAATTAATCGACAGATTTGGGGATTTTCGGTGTCCCGTTTTAGTTGAAATGTGCTTCCGGTCTGTTTTGTGTCTTCTCACATGTAAGTAATTTGAAATTATGTCGGTGGAATAATGTAATAGTCATAGTTATGATTCATGGGATAATTGAGACTAAATTGCGAGGAGAATTGGATTATTTTTTATTCCTAGGGAATTGGAATTTTAATGGAATCGTACTATACAGTTGGAAATGTTTCCACGATTTTCAAGAAAAATGCTTCGTCGCAATTTCGCGATGTCATAGGGAAGTTATGTTAACATCATTCGAGTGAATTTCTGTTGAAAGTTATTTCTAAATTTTAGCAATCGGAAAGCATATCGCAAAGATTTTCATCAAAATTGTCGTAAAAAAATGCAATACTCTGTTAGAAATTTCTTGAAATTTCAGTCACCGCGTCATCTGAATTTCCAATGTTGTGAGGTTGAATTCAATTTCAAATCAAAGCGCTCACTAAATTTCTTATTCATCTTGAAAATTCAAGAAAATGGGGTTTTTCATGTTAAACAATCAATGATTTTTCAATGAAAGCTTGAATTTCCACACTCATCGTGAAAATTGAATTGCGTCGAACAGTCGTTTGTCGGCTGTTTCATTTTGCCCCACTCTCCCTATTGCATAAGGACGAATATTTCGAACATTCGTGAATGAAAAATTACTAATTCAAGTCCTAAACTTGAGATTAGAAAAATTTTAAAAAATCATGCAAGTTTCCTTTTACAGAAAAATTCCGTTCCTTTCTAAGCAATCGCAGGACTTGGCTTGAATTTCAATTTCAATTCAAATCTAAATATTCAACATTGTAATTCAGTAGCGAAGTGGTAAAACGGGTTAAGTCGACTCATCTCCCAGTTGAGTTTTTGAGGAATATTTCCGAATCTAAGGGAGATAGCGAAATTTTCGTAATCATATTTATTATAGCCCTTAATCGGCTCTACAAGAAAGGTTATTACAAAAAAATTTCTATCTCCCTTAGATTCCGAGATATTCATTGAAAAGTGGTCAATAGTCAAAATTGACTTGTACCGTTTTGCCACTTCGCTACTGAATTGAAGACTTAATGTTTCAGTTGTGCTAGCCGAAGCCATCCCAAATCTAGGCAATTTTATATCACTAGTTGGTGCAGTGAGTAGTACAGCCTTGGCCCTGCTCTTTCCTCCCATCATCGAATTAGTAGTCTGCGCAGGCAATAATACTCTCGGCCCCGTCAAAATGATGAAAAACGTCTTCATCCTCCTGATTGGAATTCTCGGATTTCTAACTGGCACATACGAGAGTCTCACAAAGATCATCGATTCATTCAGTGAATCAACTAACAGCACAAGCCCACTTAATGCCAGCCCACATAATGCAACAGCTCAGATTATAACACTAACCGGTAATATCACAAACTTTAGTCATTACTGAAAAAGACCCTAGATATCTAGTCCAACAAAGACAACAGAACGTTTTACCTAATTACTGTATTTCATAAGTGTTAAGTAATGTGATAAAGTCTTCAGTCGCAAAGAGATGTTTTTCGATTCGTATATTTAGATATGTACAGTTATAAAAGTAAATACCGTACAGTAACTTATTTATTCTTACGTATAATGAATTTTATAGAAACAACGTATGTTATTACGAATCATGAATAAAGAGAATGATGAAACTGATCGGTTTTCATTAAATTCCCACTGTGAAGCCTACAAACCGAACAAACGTCTAATCAACGAATTTAATTTCCCTATTCTCCTTTGTTAAATTAATAGAATAAAAAATATATTGACGCGTATGTTATCATAAATAAAAAAAAATTTCGAAAGCCTTTTGTTTTGATTTCAAATTCACTACTGAGGGCGTTGATTCCTTAACGTGGAAAAAATTTTGTTTTCTTGTCTTTAGAAATATGTACAATTTCAACGTCAAAATCATACAGTCACTGATTTATCCTCTCTTTTAATGATTTTTATGGAAACACCAATTGGATGATAAGCCATGAATAAAATCATAGTTTGGATCATTGAATTCCAGGACTGATTCGAATCTTTGTCTTTAGATATATTTACAGTTTTACGTGAACATAACTTCATGGAGACATGGATGCTATTACGCGTCATAAATAAAAGGATTTCGAAAACCTTGTATTCAATTTCACTGCAGTGAGCCTCGATTCGTCATGAAATTGTTGTTTTGAAATATATACACTTCCAATGTAAATAGTATATTCTAAGATTTTTACCCTTACGCATGATAAATTCGAAAGAAACACGAATTTTCTAATGAATCGCGAATAAAATGAATTTTGAAAATCTTTTGTTGTAATGTATGAAGATATTTTCCTCTTCCTGCCTTTAGGAATGTGAACGGATTCAACGTGAAAGCCATTTCATAGAGCTAACTTATACTGTTATAAATCATAAATAAAGAATATTTCGAAAGTCGCGTATTTCAATGTCACTGGAGTTAATGTCGATTCATTCTCATAAGTTTACTATTCTTTGAGACGTTTGGAAGTGTGTCAAGTTTTTATGCGAATATCATTCACTACAATTCTTCCTTCTTTCCTCTATGTCATGATTTCAAAGAAACCAAATATTCTCGAGAATCATGAATAAAGAATATTTGTGAATTCTCGCATTTTTGGTTCCAATTTTGCTGCAGCTCGTCTCGGTTGCGTTTCTCATATATAAATTATTCTTTTTGATCTTTGGAACTATTTACAGTTCTAATGTCAATACCATACACAGATTTTCACTCCAACGTATGGTAAATTTTTTAGAACCTCGAATTTCCTTATAAATTACAAATAAAACGAATTGCGAAATCCTTGTGTTTTAATGTATGAAGATATTTCGTTCTTCCTACCTTTAGGAATGTGAACGGATTCAACTTGAACACCATTTCATAGAGCCACGTATGCTATTATCAATCATAAATAAAGAATACTTTGAAAATCGCGTATTTCAATTTCCATTTCACTGCGGTTAATCTCGATTCATCCTCATGAACTTATTATTCTTTATGATTTTTGGAAGTATGTAAAGTTTTTATGTGAATATCATTCATCAAGATTCTTCCTTTTCTATGTAGTGAATTTTATAGTTTAAATATTCTCAAGAATCATGAATGACGAATATTTGTAGTCTCGCATTTTTGGTTTCAATTTTGCTGCAGTTCGTTTCGGCTTCGTTTCTCAGAGATAAATTATTCTTTCCGAACTTGGAATTATTTACAGATTTAAGTCAATACTATCCACAAATTTTCGCTCCTCCGTATGAATTTTATAGAAACCCAAATTCCCTTATAAATCACAAATGAAACAAATAACGAAATTCTGGTGTTCCAACGCATGAAGATAATCTTCTCTTCATACCTTGAGAAAATGAAACGCTTCAACGTAAATGTCATTTCCTAGTAACCCAATCTCCATCAAATCTTAAATAAAAATAAACTTAAAAACCTTGTCTCCTGCCGATTCCCCTACAGCTGTTCTCGATTCTTCCTCAAAAAGCTTGAAAACTTGACGACAGCCCCCAGCCTCGGCTCGATGACCATCTCATCATCATACTCAGTCTCCCCATCCTCCCTAATTGGAAGAGTCATTCCCGTGAAGATGGAACGAGATAGCAGATTAGCCGACCCCTTCTGGAGGACCCTAATTCGTAAACACCCCAGCTTCACCAGAATCTCAACGAGCTCTCTCGTGTGATAAGGCTGCAGAGCCGGGATAAATCGTTCTTGAACTTTGACTAGAATAATCCCAGGATGCATGAGACAGTGTCCAAGGACAGCTCCAAGCATCTGTTCGAGGCTTTTCCTGTTGAGCAAGCCATCAATCTGAATCCAGGGTCTCACAACCACATTTATATCCTCAGCTGAATTCAGGTCAAGTTTCTTGGCTGCTGTGTAAATGTCCTTGGTCTGGAGGAGACACGTTCTCTTTTTCTGGGGATTCTTCTGTTGATCATTTGCAGGCAGAGTTGGACTCCCCTGTTCACTAGGAGTCTTCCTACTGCTGCCAGAGGCCTCAGGTTTCTTCGAACCCTCCGCACTCTCGCCCTCAGAATTCAGTACGTAGACTATTCCAGGTGGTACCGGAGGGAGGGCCTCCTTCTGCAGCCTCATGATCCTTATCGACTGTATCAACCAGGGATCCACGAAATTATGATGAATGTAGTGCATCTCTGTCACTCCACTTCGCAAGAACAACCTGTGATCAGTCATCAAGGCCAGGATATCGTACAATTGTCTCTCAAGTCTTCCATGAAATCTCATCACCAGTTGCCTCATAGTGGCTCCCTGCTCCCTCCTCTCCCTCACAAATTCGTAGACCATGTCAACATCAGCCCCTTCGATCCCCTCCTGCTGCGACAACTTCTTTGCCTCAGCATACTCCGGGAATTCTTTAGGAAAAACTGCGAATTTTCTCAAGTCAGCAAGAACTCTCTTGTACACATCCTCCTCCACCATAAGTAACCCCCCAGATTTAATCAGACTGCGGTCAGGATTCTCCTCAGCTTTCCCTCGAAGACGAGGGAATGAGTAGAATACCCCGAAGGTATTCACCACGAAGTACTCATGTGCGTGGTGACTGTCAGGAACGTCTTCATTCAGCTCCTCTCGCATCGTCAGAAGAGCTATTCTCGTGTGACGAGGGCCACTGTCACCAGAGTCCTTGCTATTTTCATCCTGAGAGTATTCAGTCTCTATTGTTCTGTCCATTGTCGCTATGATGTCATTCAGGTAATTGGAGGTCTTCGCAGTTGGAGTTTCTGGGGAAATAATCGTCGAGCTGTCTTCAGAGGTGTCCATCCTCTCCTCTCTGTTCTCCTGGTGATCGTGGGCAAGGTCCACCTCCATTTTAGTGGTCTGGTGGCCTGCGACGATGTCCTTGAGCTTGTCAACTGCACTGAACGTCGAGACATCCTCGAGTTCTTCGGTTCTAGTCTTCAGGAAAGCCTGGTGAATAGAGTCGTCAACTGGAGTTGATTTAGCAAATTCAACGTCTTCTTTGGTGATTGGGATTATAGTCCCATCCTGGAGCTTGATGTAGTCATTCTCGACGTCATCATCAAGATCGTTTTTGGAGTCTTCTAAGGTTGAATCGTAATCAGTGCTGGGTTCCTCTCCTGAAAAGGGCTTTTTCAGTCCCTTCTGAGCCCAGTGGGTCTTCGCAGGGCCCAATTTCCTCGCAGATGACTTGGGGAGAGAACTTTCCATGTCGACTTTAGTCTTATCACAGTCTGAAGTCCCCTCAGTCCTCTGAGCCACTTCCACTTTAGTCGGTTTGATGACAGGAGCACGTGGAGGAGCTCTAGATGTCGAAGGGGCATCGCTCTGAAGATCGGAATGCTGGAGGCTGGTGAGGATATCCTGGTATCGCTTAGCAATCCTAATGTACGTCTCGTCGTACTCCTGGAGCTTGGGATCAAGCGCAATTACGTGATCAGGGATCTCGACATTGAACTCGATGGCCTCGTCAACGAAATACTCCGGAATTCCCACCACCATTCCACCGGTTGGAGGCACCACCTCGACCCCACCGACATCTCCGAGAGTGTTATCCTCGTGCCCCTTGACAACAGCCTTCAGGAACTCGAAGATCTCCTCGTAAACCTCAGCAGGGACTTTGGTCTGAAATTTATGGAGGTACGCCGTGCTCAATTGGTACTGCGATGAGCTCATTGGCATGCAGTTACCAAATTTCTTGATGGCGTTCAGGTAATGCTTCTTCACGGACACCATGTGATCCGCCCTGATCTTCCCCATGGCATTCTTGAGGAGTAGTTCAGAGTACTGTTGGTAGATCCTGAAGAGCTGATACGCCCAGGACCTGCGGTCCTTCCCACAGCACATGGAGCTGTAGATGACTGAGTTGATGGTTGCTGTGTGGATGTCGTTGGTACTTCTGACGTCCTGAGTGAAGCCCAAGTGGCTGTGGGGCTTCTGGGGATGAGTTGTCTCATAAAACAAATTGAACTCTTGAATCGTCCTTGGCATGCGTCCAGCCTCCTTCGTCTCAGACTCTGAGATGTCGTAGTATTTCTTCGCTACGTAGGAGACCAGCGTCTTGAACACCTCGATGATCCTCTCCTCCGAGTCGTCGGGGTGTTCCTGTTTGATTTTGTCCACTATGTTGTTGTACCTCTTGTGGACGTAATAATTCTGCTTGATCTCTTCCACCCCGAGGCCCACCGAGTGCATCGTCTGGGGCTGCTTCAGCATGTACAGTAGTCTCCTCTGACAGGCTCTCGACGTCTTGTTATGGGAACTCGAGGAGTAGAACCTCAGGACGTCTCGAACTGCAGTGCAATTAATCACTTGTCTCCTCGGGTTTGGGCACAAGTAGGTCATTACGACCCTGCAGACGAGGAGAATGTTGTCCTCACGTGGATCCCACTCGACTCGAAGCTTGTCCATCTTCTGAAGAGCTGAGTAGTCAATGTCATCGTACTTGACTTTCGACCTTCCCTTCTTCTGTTGCTTCCTGGGGAGGACCCTTCTCACTATCGCGTGCTGCTTCTTCATCTTGGCTGCCAGCGCCTTGGGCCTCAGGTGCTTATCTGAAGTGGAAGTGGATTTCTGACCACTGGGGAGTTTCAGATCGTTGGCATCCAAGTTCGTGGGGCCACTCTTCTTGAGGCCCTTGAACTCCGTGAATTTGAGGGGTTTCGCCTCGATCTTGGAGAGGTGAATGTTCCTTTTAGTGGTTTTAACAGGGGATTTCTTGGGATCAGGGATGGATGTGCAGTGCTGGTTGAAGTTCTCCCAGTTCCAGTTTCGTTTCAGGTGAGCGAAGAAGGCGGAGTCAATGCCAGCTGCCCCCCTCTTGTCCCCAGGCAGCGTCCCAATATCGAGGAGTTCAGCTTCCTCCGGTGAACGAGCCTTCAACGTCTCCATTATCTCGGGTTTCTTGGCTAGGTCCTCCAGGATTATGTCAGTCCCCTGAACCGCCAGTCTTCCCCCCAATTGGGTGTTGATGCAGATGTTCCACATGTCGTACCAGTACTTCTCCACCACCTGCATCTTGTCGAAGTAGTAGGGCTGTCTCAGGTACTCCTGCTCATCGATTTTGTGGTAACTGGGGGCTGACGTTGTTGTGTCGAAGAGCTCGCTTCTTCTGTTGAGGTAGAGGAACACCTGGTCCTTCTCCTTCAGCTTCTGAGGGCCAAACTGAATCAGTCCGATGAAGCAGAGTCTCGATATTGTCTCGTGGAAGCTGAAGATGTACTTTCTGTTGAAGAGGAGAGCATTCCTGAGGGGCGTGGGGAGGTCTTTGATGAGAGTGTGCTTCCTGATTGGGTCGTCCAGGTAGTAATCGAGTTCTGACATTCGGTAAGGGAGATTGTAGAACTTGACGAGGATCGACAATGGGATTCTGTGGAGAATGTCACACATCAGGACCCAGCCATGGGGCCAGCCATTGTGGGGAGCCAACGGAGGGATGAACATCTTCCAGCCAACTTGAGTATTGTATATCGTTCCCATTTCCTTCTCCATTTTACTGTCGATCTGGTATCCTCTGGCTCGAAGACGCTGGATCTGTTGGGATCGAGGGAGAGGAGGCGTTGTGGGGTAATCATGAATGATGTAATACAGCAGCAAGTGGATTATCTTCATCCTGACGAACTTTGGACTGTACCCGTACCTCCTCCCAGCCTTTGGATCGTACCTTATGTCTCCAGGAACATCCAACGAAGTTGTGTCCAATTTGGACTTCCTCTTCACTCGTTTGTGGGCTGATTTATCGTCATCCTCTGAAGAATTGGACTTTGACTTGTGGCACTTCATCACGCAGAATTTAATCCTGGCTTGTTCCACAGCTGACTGGATCACCGTGTGGTTAACGTCGATGCTGGGGTCACAAATGAAAGTGAGACTCTTCTTTCTTCCTTTGGATGTCAGAGTTAGGTTGATGTTCTTGACTAGGTTCTCACCTGCCAGCTTTTGCAGCAGTCTGATCAGGGATTTTTTGTCCATCTTCACGTCGTATCCCTCACGCTCCTCTTCCTCGTTGATCATTCGCATGAGCTTCGTCATGTCGTCGATCACTTTGTGCTCTTTCACGGATTCTATTATCATGTTGGAGCGCTTCAGGATTCTGTAGGTGATGGTGCCAGTGTTCTGGGCCTCCTCTGAGTGCAGTTCTCTTAGGAGACTCCTCAGTTCGCCTCTGGGCTTCTCAGGGACCTTGACTTCTTGGAGGAGGATATCGCAGGCGTCCACTTCTGGAGGCTCTGCTGGGTCCAGAAGTTTGAGTCGTTTTGCAGGGAACATTGAATTCTTTTTCATTTGGTCTGATAATTTTCTTATTCTTGAGTGGAGCGTCTTGATTTCTTCTTTAGAAAAATTCTGATGGGTGACCTGGTATCTCTGGATTTTGTGGAGCTTGTACTTCTTCAGGGTTCGATTGGCTGATGAGAACAGCACCTTGAGGTCTTCTCTCGAGGATTTGGGGACTGGAGGGAGTTCTTCAGTGGCCACTTCCATCCTCTCTTCCACGAGGTCCTCTGCAGGAGGATTAATGGGCTCCGGAGGGGATGGCACAGGCTGAGGAGGATTGTTAGCATGTGACGTCTTCGTGAGCGCCTTCATCTTGGTCATTTCAGTCTTGAACTGCTTGCTGATCCTACTGTTCTTCTCGAACCTCTTGGACACGTATTTGGTGATCCTCTGACGTCCCATGTCGTTCATGTAAATCCCCACGACATGCATCTTCGCCAGATTTCTGAAGATCGTTCTCGACTGGAGTTTAGTCACACCCATACTCTTCCCCAGTTCTGTCTGACTCAATCCTTCATGGCTGGAACTCTCGACGTACAAATTCGCCTGCTTGAGGAGGGGCTCGTTGACCTTCTGCTTCGATATGTCCAGATCGTACACCTAAAATTAGGTACATAAATTGTCACTGATAATATGCGAAACAAAAGAAGAAAAAACAATGGAAAAATTATAATAATGAAGTATATAGACAAAAATAATTGTAGTGCATAATTCAAACTGATTTGTGATTTAGAACTTGATGACAAGAACACTGAGAGTAGCAAAATATTTTCTTTTACGTTCTTGAAAATTTGCGTAAAATTATCGTATAAGCACTTTCTGATGGAATTGTGTGGCTTCTTACGGATTTATCAAGATTTCCTATTCTCTAAGGAACTATTTGTAGAACAATCAAGATTTACTATTCCCTGAGTACATGTTTTAGGACCCTTTGGCTCAAATTCTCAAATTCAGTTCAAATTTTTAAAAAATGGTCTCTAATAAGTGAGACTGAAATGGTTCAGAATCATCGAAAACGTGGAGATTTACTATTTCCTTAGGAAGTGTGCATACGACCCTTTGACGAATTTTTTCGAAAGTCCAAAAAAATATACACGACTTTTTGGCACAAGATACATGATTTAATCTCTCACGGACGGGGCCCTTTTGTTTCTAAGGGTGGTGTACGCTCGACATAACTAGAATTCGATGACTTATAATCAATGCAAAATTATGAAACCCATATTTAATTCAGTAGCGAAGTGGTAAAACGGCTTAAGTCGACTTATCTCCCAGTTGAGTTTTTGAGGAATATTTCCGAATCTAAGGGAGATAGCGAAATTTTCGTAACTGCATTTGTTATAGCACTAAATCGGCTCTACAAAAAAGGTTATAACAAAAATTTTGATATTCCCCTTAGATTCCGACATATTCATTGAAAACTGGTCAATAGTAAAAATTGCCTTGTACTGTTTTACCACTTCGCTGCTGCATTGAAGCCACAGTTCCTTTTTTCGATCTCATTTGTCTGGTCAATTTATTCTCCACAGTATTGAAAATAATTAAAAAATGAGTCATTGCCATTTTCATGGGTCGATACCATATATGGACCCCGTACGTGAGGATTTAATAAAAGCGTTCCACTACTCCTACTCCTACCTCCTCTTCCTCCAGATCCTCTTTATTCCACAGCTCAGTGAGATCAATGTTTGGATCCAGCAGCTGGATAGCCTTGATCCTCTTCTCCTTGGCGCAGCCCTTCCTCTGCCACTCTGAAATGTCAGCATGAGGGTACAGTGTTCTGTAAGGCACCAGAAGATCGGTCCTGGCGACCTTCTGGAAGACCGCCAACTTGAACAGATTTTTTATCGTCCTGTCTATCTGCAGTTCCTTCTTGATCTCACTGTAATCAGCGATATAGTTCTCCCGAGTCTTCAGGATTTCGACGATCTTCTCGGCAAGGTAAATCATCTTGGGTTTTCGTTCGACGAAGAACCTGGGGAGGTGCAGCAGGCTTCCACTCGTGCCATGGCCAGAGATCTTCTGGTGGTGCACCTGTTTCGTTATCATTCTGTGCTTCGTCAGGTATTTCCTGTGGTAGAACAGGGACTTTGGCTCTTCCCCTAGGATGCTGAGGCTGCGCTTGCCCTGGGTGACTTCCCCGTGATATCTGGCCCTTCCCACCCGCTCCAGGAAGCAGTACTGCACGATGGTGAGCTCCAGAGTGGGACAGACAGAGTCACCCATGAGGGAGTTCTGCCTCGTGGCTTGAGAGCCAACGATCACTAGTTTCTGGCCGTATTTCTCGTCTGCAAAGGCCAGGCTCATGGTTCTGATGGAGTCAATGGGTTGTCTTGTGTGGTAGCTCTTGCAGGAACCTCTGACCCCTGTTTTCGTGTCGTCGATTGGGAAATGCTCGTAAATGTCCTCGGGGACCACTTCGGGCTCGAGGATTGTCCCCATCTCTGGGTCCACGAACTCGTAACGGTCGTAGATTACCAGAGGGGGTCTGGGGGTCTCCAACTCGTAGAAGAGGAGGTTGTTTGTGGAGGTGCAGATGGACCAGATTTGCTCCATCAGGGGAAAGGGAAAGGGGTGATTGATTTGGAGTCTTATCGCTAGGCGCTGCCACAGGGCTTCCAGGGTGATACCATCGAGACCCTCTAGTGCTACCTCGTCGATCACCGCGTCCACGAGGTTCGTGGACGGGGAGTAGATCATTGTGTCCATTGGGGTATGCATTTTTAATGGTTGAGGGGAACCTGGGGGGAGAATTAATGGGAATTATTCAGATGAGAAATGCCAATTTTTAGGGTGGAGGGTGTTCATCGTTTTTTAGGATGCAGAATGTTTCTGGGTTTGAAAAAAATGAGAAGAATTAGTTGCAAAAGCCTCGAGAAACTAAAATGATCTATTTTTTTAATATACATAAGCTCTTATGGGAGTTTTTTTCAAATTGATAATTTAGCGAATGGAAAAGGAGGCATAAAAATAAGAAATAAATGATTAATTAAATATTAGCAAATGGTGGAGGCTAGACTGAGTAAATGTTCCACTATTGATCTTCAGTAGGATTTTCTGAGTGGAAAATTGTGATTTCTCTAATTATACAATTGAAATAAATTTTTCAAAGAGCTTTCATTTCTTGGTAATCGAGAATTTAATTGAATATTCATTCAGATCAAATCAGAACAAACTCCAATTGACGCCAAAATGCTTTCCATTTTGTTGGCCATTTTTGGTGAAAATTTCAGATTGAAAAAAAATTAGATTTTTGAGTAATTATCGATTGAAGAAAAAATGTTTTCTCGTATAAGCTTCGTCAAACTGAAGATAATGCTAAGTATGACGTTTCATTTTGAAAGGTTTTTCATAGTCTTTGAGTTTGCCAAAAGGCGATTTGATAGCTTGAAACCCTGTTGGGTATCGGGCCCAATTTGGAAAACAATTTTTTTTTAGCAAACTCTAAATTTCGAGTTTTGAAAAACCATTGTTATCAAATATATAATTGTGCTGCAATCCAAGAAGAATAAAACCCGCCATGATAAACAATCAATAAACTCTTCCTTTGCAATACTTTTATCATTCTACAATTATTACTAATTCTATTTCACCCAACAGTTCTACCAAAAATCCAAACGAATCCTCTACATTTTCAACGAAGAAAACATAAAAACGACTACTATGGTTCCCAAGAAAAACATTGCATCAAACACAACACGAGAATAAACAAATTCCGAAGATTTCACCTGTCACAAAACCCTCGAGCAGCAGTTACATGTCACAAAATCGATGAACCGGAATTAATCGCCGTCAAACTCTAAAAAATCCGAGCAAAATATTCACCACAACTTCCACATGCCTCCCCCAATTTCTAGGTTATGCATTTAAATGCCCGCTGCCTCTGATGGCCTCTGACCACCTCTGACTCTGACGCCTCTGACGTCAGCCGGGCGCATGCATAGATGTCCCCCCGATCCCCCGCCGGATTGGTCCAATCCTCCATGTGGGAGTAAGGCACAAAAGAACGTCAAACCATTCAGTTGTTTATATACCATGCACAGCAGTAGTGTCACAAATCCATCAGTACATAATAAATCACCCCCACACCCTCTGAGCACCGGTTAAACCCCCTGTCAGTCCTCTAAAAACCCGAAAAATGGTGCGTGTAATACCAGTGCATAATTTCCTGTCGCAGAATGTGGGTCAGATCGATGAGCCAACGGCATCCTGCACAGCCAATGTCCAGGGTCAGGACATGCTCCTGCTCGCCCTGTCCTCCCACTGCGTCAAAGTCTACGGATTGTCCTCATCGCAATCAAAACTCCTGACAGTATTCCCCACCGTCGATTCAGTCCATCAATTACTCCACTCTGACAAAGGTAATTATGTAGCAACCCTAGAATCAAAAAATTCGAGGGACGGAGCAACGACAAATAATTTTGTACGCATTTACGTTAATTGGGAGATGTCTGGCAATCAGAATCAAGCGATGAGAGCGAGAATAGCTGGACGAGTCACGCCCAGTCTCAACCGCACCCTAAACAGTCTCGAAATGATAGAGCTACCCCTCAACTCCCAACCGACCCAGATAGCCTGCTGCCAGACCACCGGCAATCTCCTGGTGGTGATGGAGCACGAGGCTGCCATTCACGAGCTAAAAGTCGAGACCCAGCACCTCTCAAAACAGAAATTCCTAGACTTCGAAGTAAGACCCTGGTCCCTGAGATTCACATTCACCCCTGAGCACGTAGAAATAGCCGAGGAATTTATTACCGTCATGAATACCACAAACTTCATGATGTTCAAACTAACGAATCAGTTCAACGATGACATGATCAACAACGTCGAGAGCATTAACAACACAAAGAACACGAAAAAACGAATGAATCAAAACGCTAAAATCGCGAGACAGGGCTCGGAAAGTCCTGACACTGAAAAGAAACTGAATAAGAAACGAAATTCCCAGACGAAATCAATCATCGATTACAAGAAATCAGTGATCAACGAGAGGCGCTTCATCGACTGGGACCAGCTGGTGTCGAAGGAAGCTGAGGAGCTCCAAAGACTGGAGCTCCTGAAGATCATCGAGCCGGAGACAAAGAATTTCAACGTAATCCTGGGGTCGATGTCGTCAGACGTATCAGAGAACTCCCAGAGCTTCGACCCGCCAGTGGTACCAGCCCCCGAGATCTCAGCGACGATCACAACGAGGTCCAACGAGGACAGCTGGTCAGAGAACTACAGCATCGAGCACCTGCTGAGGCTGAAGATCCCCCCGACGTCTCCCGAAGCCTCGAAGGACTTCGATAATGAGTACTTCACGTGCTGCGGGATGAAGCCCTCCTACTGGAGGTCCAAGACTCTCAACACTAAGCAGAAGAGGTCTCTCCTGCGCTCCCAGAAGTACAACGTATTCAACGGGGTGACCTGCCTCGTCTGCACAGCCCAGGAAGGCTACCTCTACCACTTCTCCCCCTCGATGAAGGAAGAAATCTCTCTGAATTTGTCCTCGTGCACGGTCTACCCATTCACCTCTCCAGTGAGCCACGTAGCCCTGGAGAACACTGCTCTGCACGCCCTCACCGAAGCTGGCCTGGAGTCCTACACCCTTCGCCTGCCCCAAGTGAAGACGAAGAGCAGCATCGAGAGTGACGATCACAACGAGCCTGACACCATCTCCCTAATCGGCTTGAGACCGTTCCTGGGGGTCAAGAAGCTCCTCCACGCAGCTAGATGCCTAGTACTCCTCGCCTCCGACCAAGACTCGTGGACCTACTACTCCCTAGCCCTCCCCAATCCCGAAGACGTCTACTACGACATCCTGGGGGCAGCCAATAACCACAAGGGGTCGAGCCCCTGCACTTACAAACACCTCCTAGGCGAAGCTTACACTGTTCTCAAACTGGCTAAAGACATGGTGTACTACACTTCTGACGTGGAGTACTCCAGCAACATCAACGACACCTCGAGGTCTCACCTGGACAATTTGTACAGGCAGTCCTGTGGGCTGCTCGCTGACTACTACGTCTCCTCGTCGTCCCCCTACGACTGGAATTTTTGTATTCGTTATTATAAGCTAGCAGGCTTGAGTGCGCCTGATGTACTGGGAAGAAAAGACGTGGGTAAAGCCCCTGGAGTTGTCGTTTATCTGTCTGATGTGCTGCTGAGCTTGCAGTCAGGCCCTGAAGCCGACGCTCTATTCCAAGAGCACAATATCGTGGAGGTTCTGGGGGGCGCGGAGAAGGAGGATCTTCTGAAACTCATTCTTGCGAGCCCTGTGCTGAGGGAGTATGCCACGGACAAGTTGATTCATGTCTTGAGTGGCTGGGAAGCCACGGATGCCAGTCAGTTTGCTCTGGTGCTGCTGTACACCCAGGCGGAGAGACAGCAGCTCGCTGAGAAGGCTCTCGAGAGTATTTCTGATCGGTACATCACAGAGGCCACTCTCGCCAACTGGTCCTGGCTGTTTGATGTGACCAGTGTGAAGAAGGGAAACGTCATTCCTACGTTCTCTGATTACGCTGGGATTTTAATGAGGCAGAGGACGAGGGTCTTCGCTGATGTCATCGCCAAACTCGTGGGGAAGGAGGCGCTGACCTTGAATCAGATGATCCAGATTTTCCTGGCGTATCTGCCTTCCAGGGTTGGGAGGGATGGGAGACTAGCGGCTGGCGCTCTGCAGCTGACTCTGGAGACGTATTTCAAGGGGGTTTTCAAGGGGGATGAGGGGAAGGGGAGGGAGGGGACTGGGGAGAGCGATGTGGCGTTTTTGGAGGGGTTTAAGATACTGGTGAGGTCGTACCTGGGGGAGCTGGCGCAGGGACAGGGACAGGGGAAGGGCGAGGAGAGGGAGGGGAAGGATGTCTTGTTTGGGAGCTTGAGGCCTGAGTTCCTGGACCATCCCATGCTCTATAAGAATGATGAGGGGAAGGGGGAGGCAAGGCAGGAGGTTGTCAAGCTGCAGGCGTTACTGGCCAGTGGACATCTCAGCAATGAGTGCTATGAGGAGGTCAAGAGGTTCTTGGAGACGCAGAGCATTGAGGGGGGGCTGTCCTTTAAGGTGCTGTGCGTCAGGGACACGGAGAAGGGGGTGGAGCTGCTGGCGGAGAGGTGCCCACAGGCGCTGCTGATGTATGCCAAAGTAAGAAGTTAATTTTTGGGCGATAGTTGGTTGATTTATTGAAGGGAGATGGATCAATTGGGTTTGGGGGTTTTGGTAATTGGGGAAATATCTGGATAATATTTGATTCTAATTGAGAACTTCCATGCTGAAGAGAAAATGTCGATTGATTTTTCCTCGGAGAATCAGTACTTGTTATATTTCAATTTTTAAGAAGATGGGGATACTTACTTTTTTGTTTAGCATTTTATTGGGAAAGTAGGTATATCTAAGGATCTTAGCCATATTTTTAGCCATATTATAGTTCAGCAACAGAGCTTGTCTTAAGCTTCTTGTGATCGTAAGTTTGTCAACCTTTTGGTCTAAATTTGAATCTATTTTCTGAATTTATAGGAAACATTAAAAAAAATTAAAATAAAAAACAAGAGAGTCCATTGTTTCAGGAAATTACTACTTATTTTCATGAATAACTAACTATCCACCCTAAAAGTCATTCTTTCGAAATTTTAGCATTGTCTATATTCGGAATTTCACTACAAATTAATTTGGTGCCAAGGAAAAATAAGGTTTCTTCCAATATGAACAATTTAGATTATGTATAAAAAGAATACTTAAAAAGAAAGTTATGTTTTATAAAATGTCATTTAAAACTATGAATACCTCTTGCATAAAATTAAGTGATATATTTGGATATACTTAATTGTATATCCTGTGTATAAATTCTAATTAAATGAACTGATCAAGCAACTGAGAAGTTAATTTTAAAGAGGCAAATTTCTTGATTTTCCTAATTCTTTGAATATTTAGAGAACAGTCGATTCTACAAGGTAATATCAATAGACCATTTTTGTAGCTGAGGAAATTCCCTAGCAAGACTGTATTCTGAGATTTTCTCCAAAAATCCCTCGTTGTCAAGATATTCCAGTATTTCACAAAATGTAAAAAATCGAATTGCTGCCTTTCGCCACCTTCTTACAGAATTGAAAAATTGCAGAAGTTTCTTGATTGTTGTTTCGAATTATCACATTACAGGATAAATATACCAAAGAGTCAGAGTGGAAATATTTCGTGCAATTCTTGCTGCACAAACTCCATGATTCTCGGGAGAACCCTGAAGCCTTCAACATTTACGACGAATTATTGAGAGGTAAAATGACAGAGTTCAATTTCATTTTCTTTGTATTGTATTAAAAATATTGTGACACGTTTCGATATCTCCACGTTTGGTTGACATTGAATCGTTACAGATACAGCGATTTATATAGCACAAACCATGTCAATGAGGGGTCTGCAGCGTGTACTACCCAACGACAGCAGCATCCCTTCGTTACAACAATACATAGACATCAGTAGTCAAGTTGTGCACGCTGATTACATTAAAACAATGATAATGGGTACTGGTCAGCATTTACTAACTAATATCAATTTTTAGATTCTCACTGTGATGATTTATAAAACTAATGTGATTTTTTCTCAAAAGAACAAACGTTATTATCTTAGAGAAGTTTTAAAAGTTTATGTAAACGTATTGAGACATTAAATAATGATGTGATAAAGAGATTTATTCGTGGCAGTCAATTCGTTAATCGAAGGATCTGTAAATTATCCATTATCCTTATTTATTTTTTAAAAAAATGTTAGAATTTTATCATAATTATTTTGAATAAAAGATCTTTCATTAATCTTATCTCAAAAATGGATCGGAATTATTCCTCGTAAGTCTTCAAGACTCGTCTTCTCATTTGTACACTCAGGATACAAAAAAAAATCATATAAAAATCTTCAGAGTTCGGTTTTGTTCAAAGTTATGAACATGATATTTACAACATTAGTTCGAAAATAGTCAGGAAGTACAATTTTAATCTCTTAAAATAAATCGTCGACTTCCTTTGGTATCCAAAAGAAAATCGACATGGACGGCTTTGCGATATACTTGTACATTAATCTCTAAATAATTTCTAAAAAGCGTAACTTTGTTTGCTTTTGCGTAAAATCTTCTGCTTTTAGCTTTCAATCAACGTTTCGATTTTAAAAATTTCTTCAAAACATGAACAATAAAATTTCTCTGAACACAGATTTTTTTCTCTTTGTTTTTAGTAATTAGATTACGAATTCTTATCTCTTATTAAATGGGCATTGTCAGAACGGTACTGTGAGGTGTAGTTGGACGAGATCCAGCGATTGAGTGGGTCGTTGATGCGTTCAATGACTGCATCGTTCCCATCTAGACGAATAAACCAATAAAATCAGTAAAAATAATTTTTAAGAATTTGCTCAACTATTGGATTGGTGAAAACTTACTCTCAGATGTGCTAAATCCTCCAATCGACTGAGATCTGACAGCTCCAAGTACAATGTGTACACAATCAGCCATCCGTACGCAGAGAAGAGTAGGAACACGATCCAGAGAAGGCACATCATGATATTGTAGGCGAATATCATGTCGTTGACGATACAGAAGAGTAAGAAGGCAAGTACTCTGAATATCGTGAATCCAGCGAAAACGTATAACCATGGGATAATTTTCTTCTCGTACTCCTTTCTTAATGCGTTTATCAGGATTATCGAGGTGACTATGACTGCAACCGCACCGAGCATTGAAAACAGCGCGGCGACGAGGAGGGCATTTCGAACTGAAATGAAGAACAATTTGGGAATTAATTGATACAAGCCAATAAATTTAACCCTCCGCCTGTAACCCTATTTAGAGCACTCATTAATCCCACAGTCCAACGATATGCAATTGAAGCTATAGGATTCCCTTTTTCGTTGTTATTTATTTGGTTGAGTTAAATTCCATACATTTAAAAATAATCAATTTTAAGGAGAGTCATTCATATTTTCATGGGTCAATGCATAGCACCGACGCCGTACGTGAGGAGTTAAATTTTCAAAAAATAACGTTATTCGACACTTCCCCCTGAACTACAATCTACTCCCACAATTGAAAAAAATTCTTAACTTCTATTCATGACTGTTCTTCTAGTTACTCACCATGTTTATTACCCACATAAACAAATTCATAAGATATGATGTAATATCCATAATGTGTGGATCCTGGTACCGCCTGGGAAAGACAGTAAATATCGAAGGCTGCACTACAAATCGTGAAGAGTCCCAAAAACTGAAAGACAACACAGATGAAAAGTCTTGCTCATCAATGAGTTATTCGCTATGTTACTGGGTCGAGGATGGATTACTCACCACTCCAAACACCGCAGTGAACATAGCACTCCTGGGAATATCGGAGAAGAAGGCTTTCGTTAAAATTGGCTTCTGGTACCACGGTATCACTACACTTTTCGTCGATCTGGATGATTTCAGATTTGCACTGCTGCGGTTTGTTACGTGCGAGTATATGGACGGAGTGCCCACGGTGGGCGACTTTTTTCCGTAATTCATTGTTTACCTTTGGAAGATTTTAAATAAAATAAGTAGTAGTAGTATTTTATTGCATCCTTGAATACAAAATTCATAAATGCAGGGGTTCTGCGTTACAAACCAACGTATTTTTGTTCAATACTAAACTCAAAGATTATACAATATTAAGGATTGTGAATCAAATAGACAAGTAAGAAACAAGTAAAGATCTTTCAGACAGCGTAAGTCAGAGGAATTTAATAAAGTGATGAGGTTATCAATTGGTGATGCGGAATAAATAAAATAAGGAATCGATGGAAAATTATTCTGAATGATGAGATGAAAACAAAAACAGACATTTCGAGAATTAAACTGTTTGGAATTACAGTCCCGTCGCTGTGCAAGATACTGGGCCTGAATCTGTCTCGACTATCTGGCTTGAATGTTTTTCATTTCGTATTGTCTGTACAAAATACTCGAAAAGGGGGCTAGAATTAAGTGAAAATGGAGTTGAGACACTTAAAAAAAAATTAGCTGAATTTCCCTGACAAAGACTTGGAATTTGGTTCAAATTCCACAATATACGTGAATTTTCAAGTGAAAATGAATATTCAGTGCCAAATTCCCTTGAATATTCAGGGAATCCCTTTACAATTCTTGGAATTCTAGAATTTTTTGAAAAAATTCCCGGGAAATTCAGAGGAATCTGGAATTTAAGAAGAGATATCTCTGAATTTTCCTGACTTTTCACTAATTTCCCCGAAATAATTACATTTAAATTTATAGTTTCCACGGATTTTTCCCTGAAATTATGAATTTTCAATTACAAAATTCCTTAAAATTTCATTAGAAATGTAACTTGTTAGATATTTCCAAGACTCTTATCGGAAATTTCAGTGGAAAATTTTTAACAGTCTATTGCACGAATTATTGGAAATATATGCATCTCTGATCTATGTAGAACTTAATTCCACATGAATAGAATTCCACAACAAATGGGCTCTCGTTACTGTTCATCACAGTTCATAGAAAAATTGAACGCATTTGTCATAATACTCGGTAAAATATCTAGTTTTTTACTATTGCACCATTTGTTTTACGTCAATTTTTTGAATGGATTGTCTAGATAGGCAAACCAAAATTCAACCCAATTTTTATGAAAACGAAAATTCTAATGAAAGTTTCAATTTCACAGGTCCCTCACAGGCCCCTTTTCATAAACTAACTTATTCCGAGTTCCTAAATTGTTATTTTGAAAAGGAACAATACCTCCTAATCAAACATTCGTGTATCACATTAAGAATCGTACTCAAATGGTGCTAATACGTAATTATCGGAATTTTATTCCCCTACAGTTCCTGCGGTATCTTGTACGAAAATCGGACAGTATTTTGAATGTCTCTTCACCACCAATAATTAAGGAAAATCACATATTTCATTAGTTACTGTCATTTGGCACGCCCCGAACCTGACAGCACACCTTTGGCATGCAACTGATCGTTGCAGAGAAGTGTAATTATTGAGAGAACTGTTTTTTCCAACAATTTAAGACGAACAGTGTGATGAATTAATTAATTTTGGAGTACTCACGGATTTATCGAATTTCCAGTAACAAAAACACCTTTCCCTCTCGTTAGGATGTATCATCAACGCGGACACACCTACAAATTGTAAACTGTTGTGAACAAAACCATGAACAAGTGTGTGCACGTATAGTCAACGAAACGGAGTGCTCCGAAATGACCGCGCTGCAGTCGCCATCTTGCCACAGGTGGTCTCACTTGTTCAAAGTGCGGGTCGTGAGTGTGTGACGGTTGTGAACTGATGTAAACATTCGGGTGAACATGTGGTATTGTTTATTTACGTATTATCGTCTGTAATCGTCCGAATTGTGAAGTGTAACAATATTATGATGGAGGAGCTCTCGGTGAAGCGGAATAAACACCACAAGAACCAGTCGTCGAGGGAGGAGCTGGAGCTTCTGGATAAAAAAGTAAGGTTAACCATAATTGTATCAACAAAAGACTCCAAACAACCGAATGAATCCAATTAATTAATTGAATTAATTTTAATTAATCCAAGGAATTAATCCAATTTATTCATTGTTCGTCGACGATGTCAGGATCTAATCGATAGGATACTGCAGCTAGAAGCTCACACGTTCCAATTGAAGAATATCATAAAGAAGTCTGACAGTACGAATGGAAAATCTGTCTCTAAAAAATCTGGAAAGCCTTTTGACTTCACACAGTACGTATTTACAGTTCAGTCTTCGTACAAGATACTCGAGAAAGGGGCTACAATTGAGTGGGAATGGAGTTGAGATATTGCAGAAATTATTGGAAATTTAGGTATCTACGATCCCAGAAAACAATTTTTGCCAGTGCCATCTAAAATTTAACAGGACATCGGCAATTTGTCGACAAATTGTCGACTTACTGTTTGCTGGGATCTAGAACTAATTGCACATGAATTGAATTTCAAAACGAATGGGCTCTCGTTACAGTTTATGAAACAATTTAACGCATTGGTCATAATACTCGGTAAAATATCTAATTTTTTACTGCTGCACCACGTGTTTTACGCCCATTTTTTGGATGGATTGTCTAAATAGACAAAACAAAATTCAACCCAATTTTTATGCACACCAAACCCTGATGAATCAAACCCAGAGTTAACTGTGGGTTCATGGAAATTTCCCAGAGTTTCTCTCTTTTTTCGCCGGGTCTTTTCCACAAACCCAGAGTTGATCCAGAGTTAACTCTGGGTTTAATCTATCATGGAAATTCTAATGAAAGTCTGAATTTTGTCTCACAAGCCCCTATTCATAAACCAACTTATTCCGAGTTTCTAAATTGTTATTTTGAAAAGGAACAATACCTTCCAATCAAACATTCGTGTTTTACATCAGCAATCGCACTCAAATGATCGTAAAAATGGAAATCATCTAGTATCTTGTACAAAGAACATCAACTCAAAACATTTTCCTGTCTGAGCGCAAGTAAAGTGGGGGATACGTGATTCTCGGAATTTTATTCCCCTACAGTCCCTGTGATATCTTGTACGAAAATTGGACTGTACGATGAAAATCACTCGAGATAAGTTCTTAAAACATTCGCATAAATTCCAGATGTCACAAGAGACATATTCTCCTGAAATTCTACTATCTCGGATGGAATTATCACGGGTTCGTGGAACAGGAGGATACGATTAATACGATAGAGTATCACATATTTGAGGCTTTGAAAAAGTCGTGTTTGATAGAGAATCGTGAGAGTTCTAATTACCACAGGTGTGGGAGAACTGATAAGGGAGTGAGTGCATTCTCTCAAGTGATATCTCTAGATGTACGAAGTAAATTAGCTCCAGAGGATCAGAAGAGCCTCGATGGGGAGCTTTCTTACTGCAAGATGTTGAATAGAATCCTTCCCAGAGATATTAAATGCGTGACTTGGGCTCCAGTTGGGGATGACTATTCCGCTCGGTTCAATTGCAAGAGAAGGAGCTACAAATATTTTTTCCCGGGGGGGAATCTTGATATTGAAGCTATGAACAAGGCTGCTAGTTATCTAGTTGGACACCATGATTTCAGAAATATCTGTAAGATGGACGTTGCCAATGGAGTTGTTACCTTTGCTAGGACTATCTTAGAGGCACGAATCGTCTGTCATGATGATGAAAAGTCTGATAGATCAGGTATACTGAGAGGAAAACACATGGTCTCAAACAAGTCTTGTTTGAACAAAAGAAATTGCTCAAAGAAGACTTTCGTAAAGTGAAGTTAATACGGGATTAATCGTAGGCTATCGTATTGTCATTATTATTATAGTTAATTAAGGATTCATTTCTTGTCTTCGAGTATTGGATAACAGAAATGAAAAACAACTTGTTTTTGGGTCGTACACGGTAAAACAGTTTAAGTGGATTTTTACTATTGATCAGTTTTTCGTGAATATGTCGAAATCTAAAGCAGATAGCAAATTTTTTGCCACGAACTTTTTTGTAGGCCTCTATTCGCTCTATAAAAAAGGTCATTACGAAAATTTCGTTAACTCCCTTAGATTCGGAGATATTCCTTAAAAACTCAGGCCTAAATCGACTTGAAGTAGTTTATACATAAATTAAATTTTGAAGATCAAAATCTGAAATAAATTTTAAATGGAAGTTGATATGAATAAAAAATTTTGGTTGAGTTGGTGCTCAATTGTCAGTCTAGTATGATTGATAATAATTAATTTAGAAGTGCCAAAATAACAGTCTTATGAGAAAATTAATGTTTCGACGTTAGAGAGAAGATTAAGATGTAGACAAAATCTTTAAAAAATCAGAAAAGCATGAATAAAAAATTTATGCCTAATAAGAAATTTAACGTCAGTGTCAAACTTTTGCGATAAAAAAATTTCTCTCAGAACACTCTTCAAATATTCAGGGCTATATAACTGCTTGTTGGTAATTTTCAAATTGGGATTTTCTTGGTTCAAATAAGATTTGTATGAGATTATGTTTTTTTTTCTCAGTCTGGGGTATTTTGAATGAATCGTTTCGTTTCATCTGGAGGTGCATTTATAATGTTTTTCCAGGCTACAATATGTATCATCTTTTTATAAAAAGTCAGGCCTTCCTGTGGCACCAGATCAGGTGCATAATGGGGATATTATTGCTCGTGGGACAAGGAAAGGAGAAGCCCGAAATTTTTCTAAATCTCTTTGACATTGAGGCCTGCCCTCGTAAACCCCAGTACAGTCTAGCCCACGAGGTTCCACTGAATTTATTCCACTGTGATTATGACGATGTAGAGTGGTATTATGATGACGAAGAGTTGGTTTTAGTTATTAAGACTCTGCAAGAGGATTGGACGTTCAATTCCGTGAAGTGAGTTCTCTCTAGCTACTTTGATAATTCATTTCATCAGGGATTAAATGAGATTTTACTCGGTTTTTTCGGTTCAACAGAGCTGCCATGATTAGGAGTATGCTTCAAGACCTTGAGAGTCACGTGATAAGTCAGGAGGATCTGGATTTTCAGAGCGAGGGTCTCATTCAAGGGGTACAATCTAAAATTTATCAGCCACTGATGAAAAGAGTCACTTGTGGTACGTTCAAAACTTCGGTCGTCAAGAAGCTGTTCTCAAAGTTGGAACGAGTCTAATGTTTTCCACTTCACAGATGATTAACGATTAACGTTTCAATTTGTGGTTTCAGAGAGTCTGGAAAATCGTATTAAACATTTCGAGAAGAAGAGAAAAATCGCAGTGGGAAACTCTGAGCAAACTTAGTGTGTTCTAATCAATATATTATTAGGGAGTGTATATTATTAGGGAGTGGGCATTTGTATCATTGTATGCTTTCATTGAGGAATTACAAGTCTATTATTCTCTCTCGAATGTCCTCGCACAAAGAATAAAATCGTATGACAACTACGGCGCAAGGACCATTTTGAAGGTAAAAACAGGAATAAATGAAGTTTTACAAGATAATACTGAACATTCTGAAAAAATGTTGAAGTTTATAAAAGCAAATGGGTTATGTTATAATTAATTACGGAATACTAACTGGGTATTGATATAGTTTGATACGAATTTATTAACAATTGGTAAATCTATAATTCTCTCTCGAGCATCATCACATATCAGACAGGGTTGAGTCTGACTCGTCAATAATTTTATATCCCAGAACAACTCACTAAAGAAATAAGAACAACTTTCTTAAAAAAATAATATTTCTCAAATTGTGCGGCGATGTTCCAATTATACAGGTATTTTAGCGTAACGAAGTAATTAATTGAAGTATTTATTTCGATAATTTCACATCATGAAAACATCTGAGTTGACAGCAAATTTCGCTTCAAATTACAACGAAAAACTCATGCAGTATTTTACAAAAACTAATTTACATGAAATTTCAATAGATTTTTTTGTGCAGAAACATCTGTTAATTCTGAATTAATTCAATGAATTTCAAGTTGACGTGCACTGTTGGAATTTTTGGCTAATATTTTCGGAACACTTTTTGGAAACTTTTATCACATTATAGTTCCGCTGAAAATTCAATGAATTTCGTCATTGAAAATTCAAAATTTCATGGAAAAATCAAGGAAAACTGAATTTTGGTTCAATAATTCCATAAATTTAACAGAAATCAGATAAATTCGGGGAAAACACTCTTGAATTTTCCATTAAATCGAATTCAATATCATTCTTCTAAAAATTTCTCGTTAATTGTTCATGAAATTTGAATTTTTTTCCAACAGTGCGATCATTGGAATGCTAGAAAATTCAAAACTCAAATAAATGCGATGTAAAAACTCAAATCCTGTTCAAAACTCCCACATTTCTTGCATATTAAGTACCCAACCTTGAATTTCCAACCCGAATCCAAAATTTACAACCAATTAGCAATTAACCGAAATTCAAAGTCGAAACTTTGAAAATTGTCAATGAGTTTTCCTTAAATTTCGAACAGTGTACGTATCTACGGCTTCTCCGACCAGTGTTTCCATTTTTTAATAATCCGATAAAGCATGTCTCCAGGACTGAGTGTCTCAGTGAGTTGTCGGTGCCCCATTAGCTTATAATCCTTCGCAATTTTTCCATGCTTCACGCCAGTCTCAATGACCCGAGCAAGAGCAACGAGCTGTCTCTTGGGCGGTGTAACGGTGTTGAATGTTCCAATGCAACTGATGCCAATACTCTTTTTATTGTAATTGAAGGTATGTGCACCCTCGACATCCCATCCTCGACCCACATACGCCAGGCCATCCCCACCCACCAGGAAATTGTATCCTATGTCGTCCCATTTATTCCATTCGATATGCATTGTCTGCGCAGTTCTCACACGCTGAGAGCATTCGGCTTGTGTTGAGCATGGCTCCGATGCTGTATGACTGATTATTACGTATGGCGCAGGAAGAATTTGCAGTGGGTTAGCTGGATTGGTTGGAGGTTGCGCACCCCATTCGATCCGTTTAACGAATCTAACGTCTTCCGTTAAGATATCTGCACAAAATACAAATTCTCAGCCTTATTATTTTTATTTTCAACCAATTGTAAGTTTATGCAAGAACTTAGGGCCAGTTTTCGGTTCAATTTAACCATGAGTAACCCGTGGTTAACTTTAAGGATATCCAAGTAATTTGGCTATTTTTTCGCCAGTGAAATGCTTTTCTATTGTTGTAGTCGAACAATATGAGTTTAATAGAAATTCAGTAGAACCTTCTACCGAATGAGCTACGTTTTTCTACTATTCTTTTCGTGTGTACAAATATAGCGTATTTCTTCCATACAACAATGTCAAACATGCCATGGAATGATCTGTACAAAATATTTGCTGCGGTACCACAATTTTTTCATTTCACTTTTTCTTGTTTCTTTAAAAATCAAACGAAAAAAATTGAACAATTAATCGGAGGAATTTTACAGAAAACAATTTCAATGCAATAAATTATGTTGAAAAATCAAAATTTATTGATTTTTTTATAAAGTATTCTGTACTAAACACTTTCAATTTTTAAAAATGTATAAAAACTTGATGAAGTTTTTAATGAGTTCAATAAAAATCCAATAGAAGTTTCAACCGAATGAACTAGGTTTTTCTATAATTTTTTTCGTGCGTGCAATTATCACGTATTTCTTCTATACAACAACGAAAAAACGTGCCGCGGAATGATCTTTACAAAATATTTGCTGCAGTCCCATAATTTTTTCACCTAATTTTTTCTCGTCTCATTAAAAATCGAATAAAAAAAATTGAAAAATTAATCGGAGGAATTTTACAGAAAACTATTTCAATGCAATAAATAGTGTTGAAAAATCAAAATCTTCTGATTTTTCCCATTAAATATTCTCTATTAAACACTTTCTATTTTAAAAAAACGTATAAAAACCTGATGAAATTTTTAATAGGAGTTTAGTAGAAATCCAATAGAATTTTCTAGCGAATGAGCTAGGTTTTTCTATAATTTTTTTCGTGCGTGCAATTATCACGTATTTCTTTTATACAACAACGAAAAAACGTGCCACGGAATGATCTTTACAAAATATTTGCTGCAGTCCCATAATTTTTTCACCTAATTTTTTCTCGTCTCATTAGAAATCAAAGAAAAACAAATATAAAAATTAATCGGAGGAATTTTACAGAAAACTATTCCAATGCAATAAATAGTGTTGAAAAATCAAAATCTATTGATTTTTCTGTAAGTATACTCTACTAAACACTTTCAATTTTTAAAAATGTATAAAAACCTGATGAAGTTTTTAATAAGTTTAATAGAAATCCAATAGAATTTTATACCGAATGAGATAGGTTTTTCTATTATTCTTTTCGTGCGTGCAAATATGACGTATTTTTTCTGTGTAATAACGTAAAACATGCTACGGAATGATCTTTACAAGATTATTCCATGACACGTTTTACGCTCCACTCCCATAACTTTTTGATGGCTATTCTTACCGTCAGGATCGATAGCCGGCCCCAGTGGTGACAAAGCATCATTTCTCGTGTTCATTACAGACACTACAACGATTACTGTCACGAGGATGAGTGCCACAACACTCAGGAGCGCGGCACACCTCCACGTCCACAGCCATTTTATCACTAATAGGAACAGTCGAATGATTAGTTTTATTTTACTACTTCGGTAAGAGTGATCAGGGATGAGGGACTAACCACGAGATTTCAGAGTGTTCGAGGATACGATGCTCTCAGCATCCTCACCTCTGAACAAGTGAATCGTTGATTTAATGTATTGGACCATAAATAACTAATAGATTTTCTAGCGTTTCAATTGTCAATTGAGCCTGATTTCATTACGCTGAGTGGATCGATTAATATCCTATCAACCAATTTTCGATATTCTTATCAATACTGATGAGTAATTCAATGAGATAATGAAAGAATGGCATGAGCATTTTCTATATACAGTTGAAAATTTTGCGGAATTTAAGTAACTGGAACTTTTCTTTGAACTTAATTTAAATTAAATTTAGGATGAAGTTTCATGTTCATCTTTGAAATTCAACAATAATATTTTTTTTTTCTTGAAAACGATCATGGATATCACAATGGACGGCTCGAATTATCAGACTGATTATAGACAGTGAATATTATATTCAATTGCCTGAATTTTCACAATTTTGAATAATTTTTAAATAATTTTCATGATTTTATGATCTTGAAAATTGATACAGTGGATGGATTCGTTTCCGGAGAGTTAATCCTCATTTAAATAACACGTCCAAAAACTGGACCTTTAGATAACTGAAGATTTTTCATGAATTATTCGTATTTTTAATTGTGATTCGATTTTAATACATTCGATTTTGATACCTTTTTTTGAAATAATTAAAAATTGAAATGATTATTCCCCATCTGAATGTCAACCAATAGAAATGCAGTATTTAACATTCTGCGAAGTAATGGGGGTAGAATTATTTCGATAATTTTCGGTTGCTTTCATTTAGTCGCATCCGTGAATGTAAATTTTCCGTCAACCCTAGTCTGGTCACCAAACGCGACCCTGCGACTTTGGTCACCTCCGCGGGGTTCGCCGCCGTGTTCTTCAGGCTTTTGTGTTGCCGAACTCACTCTATACTGCCCAGACGCGCTTCGCGAGCTTTTAAACATGGGAAGAAATAATTCATCTGTCCGAAATAATTTGTTTTCATTAGGAATTTTGGGAAATATGTTATTCTAAAAACTACTATAATTTTTTAGACACTTCAATTCGGAAAGTCAAATTTTTTTGAATTTTTCCGATTATCCAGTCCATTGTAATTAAAGAAAAACGACGTGCGACGGGGTCTCCCTCATAGGGTGATCAATCTAGGGTCAAAATCAACCAAGTTTTGATATGAATATGACTTTAAGGATATCCAAGTGCTTCGTTCGAATTAGCAACTTTTTTTCAAGCGACATTTCGGTTTTGCCGAAAATCTTGCCATCCCCACACACGGAGAGAAATTTTTTAGAAAAATTCTAGTGCTAGCACTGGAAAATAGGCACAGGAAAAAATTCCAGTGCCGACACTAGAAATTTTATTGAGGAAAACGTGAATTTTTGCTCGTATTTCTGTGAAAATTTCACAGAGATCCCCGGAAACTTTATCAGAAATACCAAGAAATTTTACTTTAACAGTACTACAATTTTTCACAGCCTGCGGAATGTAGTTTTTTCCAGTACTCGTACTAGAATTTTTCTAGAAAATTTCTCTCCGTGCCCTTTTTCCAATTTTTCATTATTGAAGAAAATTTTTTCAGCAATTTCTTTCATGAATATTGTGAACAATGTTTTATTCAATTTCACACTTGACTCTCGTTGGTCTAGCTCTAATAATACGGCAACACTGCACAAATGTTCCATGTACCCTCGTAAATTCGGTCCATCACACCAATTTAAATGTTGGTCTAACAAATCCATCTTTTCTACGTTCTTAGCTGTGTAGCAGTAATAATGTATTCAAGATTAGATAGATGTCTACCGTGGACGACCTTTATCACTAAACTAAAAATTAATTAGCCTATGAGGTATTTTTAAGGAATTTATTATGTACTTGAAAAACTAATCTTGAATTTTGCCAATAAACTCTATTTAAAAAAAATCATAGTATTAAAAAAAAAGTTGATATTGCGCTTAAAAACTACTCTTGGTCTATTCTATAAACTCTGAAGAGAATTTCAACCAGAAAAAATTGCGCGAAATATTTGGATATTTTTTACCCGCAAAAACGTAAAATACTGTACTTTGGTCGGTCGAAATTCAGATGGGGGAATAATCCAACCGAATGCCCCTTGTGCTCCATAATTGTTGAAAATTTTGGAGCACTCGGGGATTACATCTGTAAATCTATTTAATCATGCGCAGAACACATCAGTGAATCTTTTCACGGAGAGAAATTCTCTCGAAAAATTCTAGTGTTATCACGGGAAAAAGAACGCAAAGTAGCGGTGAGGGAAAAATTCCAGCACTGGCACTGAAGACTTGATTAGGTAGCATGTCAATTTTTCTCGTGCTTAAACGAAATTTTCTCAGAAAACCCTAGAAATTTTTAACAGACACTCGATCGTGATTTTTTCCAGTCGAAAAATATAATAAGAATCATTATAGCTGATGTTCATTATGTATTTTTTTTGTAGTCTATTCGCACTCGACTTTTTCTAAAGAATTCCTCTCCATGTTCACTTCCTCACACGAGGAATCACGATAAATACCCAGCAGTAATTTAATTACAATAATATTTTCAAATTAAACGAATGTGAGACAAATCCTCAAATATTGAAGCCAAAATACGTGAGGCATAAAGTAAACACACGTGTTCGCCAAGAATAATTACGTCATGATTGAGGATTTCAAGGGACGAAAACCGATTTTTGTTCTAAAAGATAATTTTGAAGTTCAATATGGACTCTTACATCGTTATCTTCACACTCACATCTGTGATTCCGCGATACTAATCATTGTTGCTCATTCACAATGACGAGTTAAAAAAAGGCCAGAACGAGGAAAAAACATAGCTTCCAAATAACCGGAGAGAAGAATAATTACCTTTATCATATTCTCTAGGAGCTGGAAATATAGGAGTAGTGCTGTTAGTGACGTTGTTCTCTTCGTTAGAATTAACATCAGACGCGCGTTTACCACTTCCTATTTCACCGTTCTCCACTGATGCAGAGTTCGTGTAAACAAATTGCTTTATTGTAACGGGCCCCTTGTAGAGCGTCGTATTACCTACTCTCACATGATTGGAATTACTAATACAAACTTGACCGAATGTTGTTTTATCGAGACTCGGCAATACTTGTCCATTGCTTGTTTCATGCTCAACACTTGATATCGGTAGATTTGTCATCCATCCGCCCGACTCCTCATGATCATCAATTTCCACAAAATCAACGTCATCGTCTACGTCACTGCACTGCGCAGATGGTACACCATGACTACCGTCGTCCTCATAGGAGACTATGGGCGATTGGCTGGTGGCGGTATCGCTAATTTTACGAATATCTGAATCATCATTGAAATCGTTATTCTTCTTGATTAAGTTGGAGTAGCGCAACTCCTCCGTATCATTCTTCGGATTGTTGTTCTCTTCCCAGACACGATCACCATCGATGTTTCTCAGCTCCGGAGTCTGCGGATTTACCATCACATAGGTTCATAGCTTTCTCGAAGCTCTAGTGCTGATTTCTAGCTTCTGTTGATAATTTCTATGGATTATTCCCTCCAGCCTGGCACTTTGTCATCATTATTCGCGTTTTAATGCTGCCGGAAGCGTTGATTTTTCCTCATGGCAGCATTTTAATGATGTTCCTCATGCACTGTTACGTCGCTGGGTTTTCCCGCTGGGGAGGAGCAAGGTCGTCCTGACCTATTTGGGAATTCGGATCATCAGACACTTGGACCCCCTATCTAGGGTATTTATTGATGGTCTGTGATAACTTACACTACTATCTCATCGACACTCGTTGCTAACACGACTGAACGAGCGTATTACTGATGGAAACAAGTTTGCTATCACACATACAGACTCGACAACGAATTGAAACGAGCCCCACTCTTTTCTGAAACCGCGAATGTTGTATTCACTCCTACCAGTCTGTCTGGGTATGGCACTCTGACAGACGTGACGACCTCCGCGCACTTTCAATTCTGATAACAACTGGGAGAGTTGGTCAACAAGTACGCTTTTTGTAATTCCGCTGTTTCACTTGGATTGATAATTTTCGCACAAGCAGCGACAGATGATTTAGAATTCTCCGGTTATTTGTCGAGTCGTGAAAATTCTCGTTAACTGTAATTGGATTGTAAATGATGGAAGAACTCAGGGACTCGTAAAACAGTTTGGTATTTATTTATTTTTTTATATTTTTTGTTTTTTTTTCATAACATTTATTCTTAGCTGAGGTACTCGGTCCATTGAATAGTTTATTATTTTATTCATGTTCTCTTTTCAGTTTTCTGTGTCGCTTTGAACGGTATCCCAATTCAAAATCGTTGAAGCACGTGTGTGGAGTTGGGTTCTTATAGATTTTTTTTTGCTTCAATTTTTTTTCTCTGCCGGTTCGTGAGCATGTACCAGGTTTACAGGAGTGCGCAGTGTGCATGTCTCTACAGACATTGTCTGATTGTGCGTTAATTTCCACAGAAATAATTTTTTTTTAGATTTCTCGTGTGTTGTATCAATCGCATGGTTATGGATTTTAATGTAACAAAATTGTTCTAATTCAACGATAACTAATACTTTGGTTTTCTCTCTGGATTTTTAGTTTAGAGTATAATTCCTAATCGTTGCGTCGACATTTAAACTAATCTCATCGTTCATTATGTTATTTTGGCCTTTGGCCTTCCTAAATCTTCATAAAAAAATTTAACGGTTTTTTTTTTCATTTCCTTTTATCTCTGGGGTTAATTGAATTTTAGGGGAACATCAGTCCAATGGGATGGGTAATAACAAACAGTCATCGATAAAATCGATTTTAACATTATACTGGAAAAAACTCGATTAATTTGTGATAATATTTCGTAACTGATTAAAAATTAATTAATTAATGACAAAATGGTTTTGTGGTACACAAAGGAGGGAAGGCGGTGGGAGGGGAGGGGAGGGGTAATTTGGAATGGCTGATGTCCCCCTCAGTAAATGAATAACGGCAGTGAGTATAAGACTGATAAGAAATCATTTCCCATTCTTTTTAGTCTCAATAATACGTCAGTTGCACTAATTACTCTTGATAAGTCGATATTACACAAAATCAAGTCATTTGATTTTCCAAAAAATGAAAGACTGAGTTCCAAGAATTAATCTCGTACTAATTAATATCAACATTCTGGCAGGTTTCTCATATTTCATTGATTGAGTTAATTAGTTTTTCTCACGTTTAATTTAATGAATTTTCTTTGGCACGTACAAAGGTAAACGACAATGTTAAAAGCAGGATATCATAATAAAAATATTAAAAATTATGGCTTCTGAGATTGTGCACGACAAAGTTTGTTTTTTTCAAAAATATGTTACTAATCCATAAAGATGGGTTCAACTCCATTATTTCTTGGATTACATTGTAGCACCTTTAAGAGTATTCATTGACTAGATAAAAATATAATTAGAATTTTTAACGCAATGGAAAGACAGCTCTGGAGTCTAGGAAGTGCATGCTTTTAGTTGTTGTCTTAGTTCTACGATAATCTATGATTCTTTAACAATTATCAATGTACGGTCAACAATGCCTAAAATTTGTTATCCCTCACGTACACAATTTAATCGTTTAGTTGATTTCACGCACTGCAGGAGATGCTGTTCAACTCGAGGACTTCACACATGAGAAAATTCAAAACCCAGCGAATTCGACAGAAACGTTTGTGGAATTTCTATTGAACTTCTATTGAAAATTCTATTAATTTTCAGCCGATTCTATTGAATAGTTCCCCAGCTTCATTGTGCGTTTTTTTTTATAATGTACAATAGACTTTTTTTTTAATAGGGGAGGGTAGGGGCAAACGAACCCTAGGGCAAGACGGACCACTGACAGAAAATTGGTAATTTGTGTTTTTTTTTCCTTCAAATCAGGAACACTGAATCTGTTGAATTAAAAATGAGTTTTAGGATCATAACCGTCACAGAGGTTTTATAGACAAGAAGTGTCGTTGAACCGCACGTTGATCAGATTTGCTAATCACCTCAAACCACAAATGATTTTGAATTTTTGTTTTTGGTTCCATTTGGAAGCAAAAACTATTAAAAAAATCAAAAAATTATCAATTTTCTGTCAGTGGTCCGTTTTGCCCGCCTGGCCCGCTTTGCCCTACCCTCCGCTATCCAATAGAAACTATCTTATAGAAAAAATCAGTAGAATTTCATCTTTCTATGCAATTTTTTCTAATGAGCCATTATCTACAGGAATTCCTAGACATGAATTTTCCAAGTTTTTTCCACTTGTTTTTTCATAAAAAAAACAAACGAAAAAAACTTGAAAAATTTGAACCAGAAAATTTCTGTAGACCAGATTTCTTGTCCAGAATATTTTCCATTGAACATTCCTATTGAAAGAACACGCAAATAAGCTGCGGAATATTTCAATAGAATCGGCCAAAAGCTAATAAAAATTTTAATAGAATTCCAACAGAATTTTCTAGCGAATTCGCGAAGTTTTTCCATGAAATTTTTTCGCGGTTGTTCCCTTGAGTGAATAAAATTTCTCGCTGTGCGTGCAGATACACCAAAATATATCTGTCGAAGATACTAATAATGAATTTCACGTGATTTCATTCGTTGAATTTATTCTTCTTTAGGTTATAAGCTCTAAGACGGATCAGCATCGATCGGAAAATAACAAAATTCTATGTGCGGTATTTCGATAACATTGTTTATCATTTGAAAATACTCACCAATATTCGCGCAAATTGATACTTTATTATTCATTAACTGAGCCTAATTATTATATCACGTGTAGTAACAATTGATTAAAGTCCATCGCGATACTCCGTGTTTTAGTCAATCCTTTTAGCCGATTTTTATTTCATGTCGCGTTTTGTGAAACTTAATTTTTTTGTTTAAACACTGCTTGTTGCGTGGCAATCCTCCAGGGTCGCCAGGCTACTCGCGCGCAGCGAGGCCAAGCTCAAGGAACTCTGATTCAAGTCGTGCGGGTCCTCGCAGTGCAAATACAGACGGGAGCTCACGGATTTGTGGCAATCTGGGCAGAGACGTTTTTTCTTCTTGTCGCGCCTTTTCAATATGTCGTTAGCACATCTGAAAATCAGAACGATAAGAAGAAATGGGGGATTAATTGAATAGGGTTATTATTTCTTATAGCGATTTACTATAGTGATTCTTCCAATAATTTTTAGGCCAATTCGGATTCGTCCATTGCACTTTTAAGGTATATCCCTTGAAGACACGTTTTTTAAAAGATTGTCCCCATGTTTTTAAAAGTTGATGTTTATAATAGTCCCCAGATATTGAAAAAAATTCTAGCTGGCGGTACTACACAGTTTAGGAGATAATAAATAATGCAATGCGGACTTCTAGCACGTGAGGTATAGGCCAAACGGGAATTATGGGTCACCCGAACTTGATTTTTCCATGTTCCGAGAACACGGTTCTTATACTGAGATAAAAACAAACACGTTGTCAAACAAGTCTTGTTTGGGCCAACAAAATCGCTAGTTGAAAATTGCCAAAAAAGAATTTGTTTGGTTCGAGTTTGAAAGTCTCAAACATAAATAATTGTTCTGCCTTCGATAGCAAGGAAATATTTGGCCCAAGAGACGGATAATTCACACCAGACGGTACCTTTTCAGGGTGAAAATATCTTATATAGAGGACAATTTATCAACAAATATTTTATCCCTAAGTTACAAGATTCCTATCATATCATTATTATTGTTTCAGTGAAGGGTTCATTTGTTGTCTGTGATTATTGGACAGCCGAAACAAAAAACTACTATCCCTTGTTTCGCATAAAACAAAGACTTTTCGGGAGCAACATACGTATGGAAGTATCGAATAACGAAGGAGTAGTGCTAGAAATAACATTTCTTGCGTGTACAGAAAATGCAATTTTTTTTCAACTACTGGATCTATTTTTGCGACAAAAATTTTTCATTCCGGCGCACTCTCTGCATCTTTGGCACAAAAAATCCTTTTTTGATAATTTTCAAAAAACTATTTTCTTGGCACAAGTAAGACTTGTTTGAGAACTTTGTCGTTTTCCTCTCAGTGTACGATGTTCTTAAAAAAATGAATTCGTGGTAGATTCCTAAATTCCGAATACGGTGAATTTTTTGTGAAATTTTTTATTGCACGGTGTGACATGAAAGTATAGACCACGCGGGCATAATGTAAGTGCAGAAACTTCACGTTCGTCGAAAACGGAATTTGTGCCTTAGTGGTCTAATGTACTAATAGTACATAGTTAAAATATAGGTAAATAATAAATAGTAAAGTAAATAGCTAAAATAGAAATTTCGTGAAAATATTTCTTAGTGCCTTTATTAACAACACATGAGAATAGAAGAACTCAATAACAGTGAATTTTAGTTCAATTATTCTATGAAAATGATAGAAATCATAAAATTCAGGTACATACAAGGTGTCGTCAGTACTTTGCTTCCAAATTTTAAGGAGGTATACAATGGAAAATCAGTAATTCAATGGCACAAGAATTATGAAATGACGATAATCAATTTTTAAATACTGAGCGTTATAAATTTTCAATCATGTAGTCAATAACACCATGGCAGGCCATCGCCATGTCGCCATGATGTACAGCGGCAGTATTGTGACAATTATGACGATATTGGCTGCGATGATTTTGGCGACATTATGGGCTACAATTTGAGCGATGCTCATTGCAGCAATCAAACCGATAAGTTTATCAACATGAAGAGCGATATTAAGTATCACATCAAGCCCCATTGATAGCTGCGTTACAGTTCCCAATCATGGCGGCAGTCAATAATAACGTGATTGGCTGATGTATTGAAAAATTCTAACGCTCACCATTTGAAAGTCTATTACCGGAGCTTAATCATTTTTGTACCATTGAATTCCTGATTTTCTATTCCATATCCTCCCGAAAATTCTAAAGGAGATGCTGACGTCACTCTATATATTCTAGAAATCTTAATTATTTCATGATTGTTGACGTTCTAACGATGGCCTAAGTGGTCCTTAGCAATTTTAGGGTAGTTGAAGTTAAGAACTTCTCAAAGTCTAAATTATCCCAATGGTTTGGCTCCCAGGGAAGTCCTCATCAGGGGATTTCTGTACTCTTTGATCGTCACACCCGTACTTTTAACTTAGATGTAACGGTAAAATGTTAAGTACTTTCAGATGGGAGAATAATCACTGAAGGCCCGGGTGTACTATCTTTCGAACGTTATCTCGATGTTTTTTTTCATCTTTCGTCATTTGAAATTGTCAATTAAGTCCTGCATCATGCAGAAGTTTTGAAACATTATGAATGAATAATCAAAAAATAGTAGAAGAATTTCTTAATTTTTTCAAAGAGCATTTTTAATTTATATTCAGAATAAGTTGAATAACAAGAAATTGAAAAATGTATCTGATTTACGGTGACAAATGGCGGCCTGTCACCCAATATCATGCAGGGGGAAGACTGATTTCGTAAATCTTTTCCCACACCGCACAGAGACATTTATTATACGGAAAAGGCTCTTTGGAAGAAGGTGTAATATTTTGGAGAATTTTTTAATCACACTTTTATCACATAAAAATGGCAGATGACTACTTACCGCTGTTTTGAAAATTGAGATACCTAGCTGTCCCTTCCCATGAGGAGTGGAGGAGTTAGTGTTTTCTTATCCACCATGAAAAATGACAGCTAATAGATAATTAGCCGCAGCGAATCAGATATTTGTAATTTCCACTTTTTTCAACGCATTCTGAATCTCAATTAAAAACGCTCTTTGAAAAAGTTCAGAATTTTTTCTATTTTTTTTATCATTCTATCATAATTTTTGGGAATTTCTACATGATGTACCACTCAATTGACAATTTTGGATTACGAAAGATAAAAAAAATCCGGATAATATTCGAAAGATAGTACACCCGGGCCTGAAACTGAACTTTCATGATTTTCCCCCTTTAATCGAATTCAATTTCCCTCTCCTGAAAATTACTGCAATATCATTCCCCAAAATTTTGTTTCGTCTACGAAAATTGTTTCCGACAGTATCATATGCCCAGAAGAATGTAAAAGACTACAATGAATTGCAAATTGATATAGGGACGACAAGTACCAGACCCCCTATACATTCTCAACAGATAGAACTCCTTCAAATCAAAAGCGAATGGATTATTTTCCTCAGATAAAAGCGAGAGAATACAATACCTGGCATGAAGTATATGTGAGCAAGGTAATGCCTCAAGGGAGTCAGCCTCCAAGCCAAAAGGTTCATTACAACCGCCGCATCTGAGCTCCAAGTCCTCTTCAGTAGCAGCAGCGATTCTCTCGTGATGACCTTTTTGTTCCTCATCCCCCAAAGAACCGTAGATTCGTGATAGTCGGCATCGCACCGTCCTCACTAGAAGCTTAACGTGTACATAAAAAACGGGGAAGAAAGAGAAAAATATTAGCCCCCATGGAGTTGAGACGAGAGGGAGACGGATATGGCACTTGAACGTGACACAATCGGGCCGATTTATATCTTTCCACTGGCCGTGGCACATTTTTCTACACCCCTCATTTATTTTTCCACCTTCTCTCGAGCGAAACTGCTTTGTCAAAACTTCAACTCAACAACCATAGTTTATCCCACTCTGTTACAATCACAATTAAACTTGGGATTGATTGTCACGTATTGATAAATTGTGTTGTGCACTTACCTTGGCACCAACGGAACTCGCAACTTCGAGAAGTCGTGTGTTAAACTCCAATGGCCTGCAGTTACATATCTTGTGCTGGAGTCTGAGGGCCTCCAGGCACCTAGCAGCACCATCCATTGCTTCCATTTGGCACAGACGGTCCCCTGTTGCTGCTGCCGAACCCATTGCACTCTCGTACTGACGAAATGCTTTCTGGAGAATGTCAAACTTCACATCGAGGTGCTGTCGTAGGTCTCGCAAAACTTTATTATATCTGGGTGAAACTGAAGGCTAAATTCGATGGTGACTAGGTGCTGAACGAAAGGTGAAGTGAAGAGAATTTAGAGAATTATTTTCATCCATTCGTGGATGGGAAAATTCAATAGAAGAGCTGGTGTACACTGTTAGAAATTGTTTGAAATTTCATTGAAAATATGATAGTAATTCTCATGAGAGTGACATTGAATTGGATTTAAGGGAAAAATGGTCATGAAATTTCAAGCTTTAGATAGAATTGAAGGAAATTCATGAGCTTTCAGTGGGAGTGAGATGGAAATTTCGCAACTTCATTGAATTTTCAATGGAACTCATGTTCAGAAACAAAATGACATAAATTTTCAATTTTTTTCTCAATTTCTCGGATTTTTCTTAATTTTCACGGAATAATTTAACTGAAAAATCAAGTATTTTATTGATTTTCAGATAATTTCATCAGAAAATCAATGGAATAATTAATTTTTCAATGACAATATTTCCCGCAATTTCAGTTGAAATTAAATATGCCAAAAATTACCAGGATTTACCAGGTCTTCATAAAATTCTATTGGTTTTTTCAATGTTAAATTGGTTTTTCTTTTCATTTTGGAATCAAAAACACAAGAAATACAGCGCAGAAAATTCAGTGAAAATTAATTGGTAACATTGTCAAATGTTTCCAATTACGTACGTGTTCCAATACGAAAATTGTTCTCTAGTTTCTCGAAATTCTTAGCAGAGAAGAAGCTAATGATGTTATTGAACGATAATCAAGGACCAACGTACATTGATATCGGACTTCTTTCTGTAAATGTCACCCATTATCCGAATGCTCCTGGCGTAGCTCGCCTGATCGCCGGAAACGAGAGACAATCTGGTGGCTTCCTGAAAAGAGAAAAAAAATCTCAATGAGTTCTCAATTAATTCCTCTCCCTGCGGCAACAGCCATTTGAATCAATAAGAGTTGGGACTAATTATCTGTTTGTATCCCCTCTCAAACTTTACCGAGCAGTAATCGTGAGCATCACCAAGTTCTCCTTTCTTCCTGAGAGCAGTTGCCATCTGCAGTAGTGCAGCTCGATGGTGTCTCGAGTTTAAATCACCGAGCTGCAAACTCCGAGACAGGTCGTAGGCCCTCGCTGCGTATCTAGCACTCTTGTCGGCGTCTTGGAGACGACAGAACAGCTCGGATAGCCCGACGTAGACCTTCATTTTGATAAGGTAACGTATATTTTAGTGTGCATTTCACTAAAATGGGAGAAGTGGAGATTTGAAGGGATTATGAGTGTACCTGAAGTTCCAATGAGGGATCCTGAATTGAATGAGCAATTTTGTGAGCTCTCTGAAAAGCTTCCAGCGCTTTGCAGAATCCAGCTAGCTCCAGGTGGACCCGGCCCACCGTCAAATGCACTAATCCAGCGGTTGCACACTGATCGCACTCGTTGTAAAGACTGATTGAAAATGAAAGCAAATTGAAATTGCAGAAAGGCGTGTAAATCTCGATCGAATTTTTTTGTGAAGTCTGATGGTGGTTTTGGTGAATATTTCTGATTATTCTAGGCGGTCGGATCCTGGATAATTAGAGTGTAGTATTTGGTGACGTGAAGTACTTCCCGATTCGGTATTAAATTGATAATTTCTTCAATTCTGATTTTGTCTAATCAAAGTGCAGTGTTCGGAGTCACGTGACACGTTTCAGACTGATAATTCACTCGGCCACAGGGAAATTATCACAGGCAGACTAGGGGGCTTCGCCCCCTGCTCGCTCCGCTCACCAACCTCCATATGACCCCCAGGATTCTTATTCTGACCCTTGTGACCCTTATTTAGACCTTTCATCTTGCGACCTTTAATCTCACTCACATAATCCTTAATTTGTCACTTGTATCCCTAATTGAACCCTTCAACCGACTCTTGTGACCTTTAATCTGACCCTTGTGGCCTTTATTCTGATCTTCATGACCCTTAATTTCGGAGTCTTAATTTTGAGAACCAATTTTTTATCACCAGAAGTTGATTTCGATTTTTATAATACAGAGAGATATTCTACGCATTTTGGTGAAACGTGTCACGTAACCCCGAATACCATACTCTGATCGGCCGAAATCAGAAATCATTATTGAAGAAATTACCCTCCGAATACCACTAGTAGACCTTCAAAATTTATCGCACGGAGAAATACTCAATAAAAATTACGTATTTTTTCCGTAATTCCGGAGCGAAATGTGGTTGTAGGAAATTTTACGGAACAGTTACGGAATTTTTCCAGAGCGTTCGGTAATTTTTATCGGAATCTGCTGTGAAAAATTACCATACCGTCACTTAAATTTTCTGAGTCGATTCCGTAATCGGTGAGCGAGTTGTGAGTTCCGTAATTTTTACTGAATATTTCTCTCCTGCGGATATTTCCCTCATGTTTCCCTGTGTATCAACGTTCGAGATAAGTTTTGCAATAAAACTCCTCGTGCTTCGCGCTCGGAACTCTAATCTACAAAACTGATCCCTCTTGTTACTATGCAACAAAACTTTCGGAAAATATCCCACAATTTTGAAGGTCTTGGGGTATTACAGCTGATGAGTCACGGGGTTACGGGTAAATTATCAGACTGACAATTCCACAGTAGTCTAGCAGTTGTTTTTCCTCCTTTTGACAGATATTCCCCACATTTTAGTGAAAAAAGTGGCGTAACCATGAATACCGCACTTTGCTCAGCCAAAATCAGAATTGAAGAATAGTATATTCACTACCCAGGGAGAGAAAATACACTGAAAAAAAAAAATTATTTTCGCCAAATATCCATTTACTTGAGAGAAGTATTTATTTTTTCAATACTGTATTTCTCCAGCCGGCTCATTCCCAGGCGAGTCTGGTTAGATTTCAATCATGACAATCGTGTTGTTCTAGAGAAGGACTATGTTGCCCATGATCTTGGATCAATTCCTCCAAAGATTATTCATTTTTACTAAATTTCTCATTTTCTACAGGAAAGAATTTCCATTAATTTTTTAATGTTGATAATTATTGAGAGGTGCATTCAAGATTATAACTAATATGATCATCTTTTAATTAAAGCAATATAATTGTCACAATTGAAACCTAGTGGGGATTACCTGGGAATGACTCAACTGGAGAAATACAGTATTGAAAAAATAAATGCTTCTCTCAAGTTAGTAAATGGATATTTGGCAAAAATAATTTTTTTCTCAGTGTAAAGGAGTCGGGCCCACGTGCACTAGGGTGGGGCAACGGCACGTGGGTAAGGGGCCTTTATTTGACCTCCCGTGGTCAGGACGCACAGCGTAGGTACAAAGGCAGATTTCCCTCTCGCCAAGCGGAAGGAAAATATGCACTTTGCGCCCGCCGTGACGAAAATTATACTCGGAATGCCCCTCGATCTTTAAAATTCTACGGATATTGCCTGAAGTTTTCATTTGCAAAAAAATAAAGGTATCAAATTATTGCAACGGTCGGGATAAATTTCACACAAAATTGTCTGCTTTTGCAAAATTCTCCTTCTCGTTGCTACTGAACAGAATATTCGAGAAATATCCGATATTTTTTCAAATCTTCCGGGTATTATTACCGAACATAATGGAGATAGGGGATTTTTTTAACTTTCTTTTGTGGAGCGGAATAGGAGGTACTAAAAGGTTCTTATGAGAATGATGGACATAAACAAAGAGTGCTTTTCGTCTTCAGGGCAGAGGGGATACGTATGTGAGTCGAGATTGAGTAGAGGTATACTGTGAGGGGCACAATCTCCTCAGTGCGCCTATAAAACGAACATTTCATCAAATGGGTCTTGTTTTAAAGTAAAAAAATCGCAAGCTGATAATTGCTGAGGTAGCAATTGTTTCATTTAGAGATACGAAAGTTTCAAAGAATAATTGCTCTGGGAAGCCAATCATTCACGCGAGAATGATTCCCTTTCCAGTGATTGCGCCTTTCCAAGTTGAAATATCTCTCATAAAGTAAATGAAAAAATATTTAGTTCCTAAGTTATAGGAGTGCTATCATGTCATCGGAATTTACAAAGACTTTTTTAATTCCAATTATATTTTACAAAAAAGAAATAACCTTTTTTTATTCTACTTTTATTCTACTTCCACATAAATAATTTTCCGTGCGGGTGATTACCTCAGGAAAAAGTGGTCAAAATTTCCGCCAATGGGACACGGTGTGGAGTTTTCAACTCTCTCTCTCAATAAAATTAATATGAAAAGTATCCCTAAAAGGAGAATGAAGGTATAAGTCGACTTATTTCGTTCGAAAATTTTTTCATATCGGTATAAGTCGACTTAGCTCGCAGGATGATAGTTAAGAATGAAAGCCAGGACTTATTCCGTTTTTCACTTGAATAAAAGTATAGTTAATTTCTTTTTTACTCAAATCGTTTATAAGAGATATGTAATAATTCATTAAAAAATCAACTCATCACCCTTTGCCACTGCGCTACTGAATTGCATATCCTTGAGAACTTCTGTTCTAAATCTCAATTTCCCCTCCACGGAAGGTTCTCATGAGAACTCCCCTCACACTCACGGCGTCCGAGATTTAAAAGAGAGCAGATCTCAAAGTGAAATTTATTCCATTTCACCACATAATTACTGAATTTATTTACCTGTGTCTTGCATATGCAAGTGCTCTATCAAGTGCGCCAAGTCTCTCATGCGCCCTAGCCAAATTCAAATAAGCCTCTGCTCTCATATTCGGTGAGTCCAGCTCCTCTGAGATGCACAGCTGCCTGTGGGCGTAGTCTATACTGTCTCTGAAAATGGTAAAGTCCCCAAATGAAGAAATTTAATTCCTGAAAATACACGTGTAAATCCTTTCCATTTTATCATGCAAATAGAAACACTGAGATGTCATGTGGCTTTCAGTATACTAATGTCAGCAATTGCATCTCAGCAGACTGTCAAGAATCCTCTTGTGTCTCGTTATGGAGGAGCTACCCCGCAAAAGCCCCAAGTCATGATATTCGGATTACGAGGACTTGGTGGGTTGGGTTATCACATCCTGCTTTACACTGCGGATATGCACCAGTCATACCCACTAGGTTTGGATAAATTATGCGCTTACTGTTTTGCATTGTGTGGGTGTGCGGATGGGTGGAGTTGCTCTAATGAAACTCAACGCCGCGTGAGATTTGAGAGACAAATTGTAACCATCCTAGAATTACCCGGTGTTAGTCATTAGTGTGATTGGATTTGTATTGAATTTACGGGTTCTGACTCGGTATTTCTTCGTTTTTCACAGGCCTTTCGGAGGTAAATGTGGAAATCACTGGATTTTACGCAACTGTAGAGATAATGAAACCTATTTTTTCTTCAATTACCGCCAACGCCCCAGTCATTGCTACTGACCCAGTTTCTGCCACCCTCAAGGGTCTCTTCTTCTTCTTCTTCTTATTCTCCTTCTTATTCTTCTAATTCTGGTGGCTTTATCCTCCACCGAAGGGTCTCAAATGATTTTTAGAGAATATTAATTGGAAATTTACCGAAATAATAGAAACGAATTGTTCTAAAGCAAAGAAAATGCATTATTTTGAGTTTTGAGACTTTCGCGGATAACATTATTATTTATTATAGCTTCCGGATGGATGTCGCGTCTAGATTCAGCTTCTTGCCGACGTTTCGCAAACATTTCAGTCTGCATCATCGGGGCTAGGTCGCTTCCATACTGGAGCTCCCCGTTGTAAGCCCGAGTCGAGGATTTGGTTCTGATTGGACGTACACAGGTCTTTCAAGATCTCTCCAGACCTAAATGGACCTGGTAAGTCCGAATAAGTTCTGCGACGTACTTTTCCAGAGACCATTCGAATCCTCAGTTCTTTTCGGTCCTGAGAAGCCCTCCTCGATGCTACCGAGAACGCGTGATTTTACGACCGGGTGAAGGGGAAGGCATGTATGCGGAGGGTTGAAATTTGTAGCCAACGAGGAGACAGGGTTGCAGAATATATTTTAGCCACCCTCATCTCCCCGTTTGCAGGCGGTGTTTAAATAAAAAATAGTGAACGTTGATTCTGTATTTATTGACCCCCTGATGCCAATGAAACCCTCGGAGGTGACAGAAATGGGGAAAAAAAA